GCACCTTCACTAGCATCATTTGGTTAATTTTAGCCCTGGAAGTTCCACTCTCTAAATGTAAAAGGTAGATGTTAACTTGGAAACTACCGCTTCATGACAGTGGAACAGAGCATTTTGGCCATTCCAGGGTGGAAATTAGTGAAGGTGTATGGAGTTTAAAAAACACAGTAGTGACCTTTAGGAAACTCAGCCTAAATATGCAGGGTTCGTTTGTTAAACGTGTGAAACAAAACACAACTCCAGGTATGTTTTTGGTGTGGAAACGACATTATAGCATAGATCAGAAAATAGTATAATATAGGCTTAGATTATAGCCCTTTAAATTACATTTCTAAATCTGAAAATTGTAATGTTATGGAGGCAAATATAGAAGAGAACCAACTCACGTACCCATCTTGATTTTTTTCCAATACATTTCTATCTATCTGCATATGCAGTTGGTGATTGATTCTTGCTGTGTGGGATGAGTGTCAATACAGCTCTCATTTTAATAAAACCCAGCCAGGGACTTATGATTAAAATAAAAACTACTGTTGTGGTCCTCAACAGTGATACAAAATAATACACTGCGCATTCTTCTCATTGGTGTGAAATAGATTGCAGTGAGCCTGTCTTTAAAGAGATACGATAGATCACCTCCAGTAATTACAAAGATCAAAGTGAAAGGAACAATGAGATATGTTACCGAAGCGACAGCAGCTCGATGGGAGGAGAAAAAACATCAAACATGAACCATCAGTGAGGGTAAATAATTTACATAGGGGAGAATGCATACATCAGGACATGGATTTTCAATGTAATGAGTCCCACTTGATGAAAAATTTACTTAAAGTATTTGTTGATAATGTTCTCAGAGTAGTAATTGTTTCTGTCTCACTGAAGATTTTGGGTTAAATTCTTGATCTGGAAATATCTCTGTGAATATGAGGTCAATTTAAACCAAATAAAAAGTGGTGTAGAGTTTGAGACATGAAGAACTCCGTCATCATCACCCAACCTCTCTACAGTTGCAAATGAGTCTGGTCAAGCGGTAACGGAGGGACACAGGGGCAGATTATTTACATTCAAATAGCTCTTATTCAGAAACTAGAGGGACTATTGAAATAAGTAAGGTATCAGAATGTAGGAAAGAGTTAGCACTCCAAGAGGGTAAAGTTAACCCTGTGATATTCTTTCAAGTTGTTGATACAATTTTTTTTTTAAACTCATGTCGGTAACGGAGGGAATGAAATATGCAGCACTTTTTGGGTAATAAATACAAAGAGTGATAACTAGCTGTTCTCACTTACATATCCTTAACAAACTGGTTTGAATATTTGCTTAATATAGTTTTCTACCATATGGTACAAGATTAGGTTGAAAAACCTCTTACTTTTTGAGTAATGAGATTTTTTATTAAGAAAGATCATGGTAACGGAGGGAAAAGTAACGGAGGGAAAATTGTGCAAGCAAGTAGAAGGAGCATGGTTTTGCATAATTTGTTAGCTTTTTTCTTCTGAATACTTTAATATTACTTCAAAATGAAAGGAAACTATTTCTATAAAATATGTCAGTCCTTCCAAGCAAATTTTTATCATTTTAAATACTTTTTTTTTTTTATCATGTACCTTCATCAACAGTTCAAAGATCGAATAACACAAGATATGATGAAATACATCCATTTATTTACATGATTTGCAGGTCTTTGTAATTTGGGAAATAATTTTTGTTCCGTGTTGCATAGATGGTATGTTTAAAACGTATGTAACTTTAGAACCAAAAATGGTACAGAAAAAAGGTAAACAGTTTCATAAACTAGAGTACATATGCTATCTGTGGAATACATATTTATATCAGATGCATTAACTTGAATTTTTGGCCTTGCTGTATTCTTCTGCTTGACCGGGCCCAAATATGCCTTCTTGATAAGCTTAATAAATGTAGGAGCATTTTCTGGAGCAAGCTGTTTTGTCCCAGTCAGAGCACACGGGAGCGAGGAGGGGAAAGGCGGAGTTTATTCACTCTCACGTCACAAACCAGGAAGGGCTCTGAAAGGCTCTGTTCGCGGTAGTAAGTCTGAAAAAAATCTTGGAAAAGGAGAAAATGGACCAGTTTTCCTCATCTACATGTCATTGTAGTGTTTCGTTATGTTCGGTTAATCAACAGTTACAACCATACTTCAGTTTTCATCATTTCCCCCCTGACACACAACTCCGAGCGCACTGGGTACATGCGATTAGAAGAGATGAGGGCGCCAAATTCAAGATGATTCCAAACAGCACATATGCAGTCTTCATTTTATTGCTGATCACATGTACTTCAGTGGGTTTATCACAGTTGATCGGCGAACCCAGTGTCGGGAACTACACTGAAAGTTGTGTTCACATCTTTCCAAACGTCTTCCTGGTTTCTGACGTAACATGAATACAGCCTATTGTGTCCATGGAAGTATAATAAGATGATTTTATTGTAGATCTATGATTGTATCTGATCAGATGAGCAAAGATTGTCGACAAAACTAAGATAAGTGTCCCATTCAAAATCACGGACATTTTGAGATAATTTAGAAATTTCTCCTGAATGTTTTTTTTGGTCCCAAAAGGAGGACATGTCCAGGAAAAAGAGGATGTCTGGTCACCCTAAAATAAAACCTGAAACAATAAGACAAAATTAGACTGTAAAATACAATCTATTCATTTTACATAGTATATCCTCTGGTAATAACTAACAGCTAAAGTTACACTATCACCATTTCTGTCCATTCAGGCACAGTGTGTCTGAGAATCCTGGAAAGCTGCCTGACACTATTCCAGATACTTGAATCTCTGTCATGGTGCATTTTCATGAACGACAAATAGAAAATAGTAAACAGAGATTGGAGAAATATAAGGAAACAACTGCAACTGCATGACATTCCAGACAGCTGTTACAACAGAAAGTGGACTACGTGGATGGGACTAACATTTCAAACTTGGGACTTGTTGATCATAAAACTTTTACATACACATCTCAGTAACTTGACCTTGCGGCCTCACTTTGCTTTTCCGAACGCTCTACCAGAAAATTTTTATATTTCTTTAACTGTTTAACTGAATCTGTGTATTATTATTCAAGTAAAAGGGTTAAAAGTCAAAGCTTTCCCAGTACAATGCAGTATGAATAGTTTCTGGCTAGGTTATCGAAATATGTTTTGGGCTTCACAATGAACTGTATGAAGGTACTATTTACTTTACTATTGTGTACTTCTATGTAATTCTGTCACTCAATTTGCTTCTGCAGTGTTTAGTTTGTGAAGCTGTCCAAACAAGTTAACCACTGAAATGTTTTCCTCTTTTATCTTTTCTCCTTTACTTTGCTCAAAAGCACAAATAGGGCAGACTGAAATGGTGGCACAGGCTCTTGCAGTAAAGTGCTTTGTGTCTGTCCTGCACTTATTGTATATTCAGTGACCTGTTTACAGCCAGGACTTCTGAGTCTTCTCTTCCAATGACAAATCTGCTCTATGACAATTCTGCGCTTTTCAGCAAAAACAAAAATGGTTTCTTTGGAACTGTATGTGGCCTGCATTTATATTTGAAACCTAGAGACTTCAGTAAGAATATGGTACAATTGGATGTGTGCGCCACAACTTTGGATTTAATAAGTTTGACTGTGGAGTGAGATTATATTTAGTTTTGGTTAGAATTCACCTATTCACCTATTAATAATCAAAACTGGCATTGCATACTTGCTTGTCTCCATGGAGATTCCATATTTCCTTGCCTGGAATGTTCAATGTTGTTCAATTACGAGTGTGTTATAGCTCAAAAATACCTTAAAAGCATGAATTCTTAGTATACTTAGTGTGTAGGCTTTCTTCTCCATAGATCTGACCAGTAACCTGTCTCCATTGTGATTACCAAGTATATTTTTAAATGCGGGATAACCAAAGCAAACCAGTAATATCTCCATGGAGACAAGCAGGTGACAGATCCTTCAGCAGAGAAGTTACACAGTGTACCTTTAACAATCGGTATCAGCCATGAAAAAACTCATATCGGTTGGTCTCTAGTTATCTCTTAATGTTATCTACTTCATTAAATTAAAAGTTAAATTGGTGAATAAAATACTTTAATACATAACAATAAAATCTCGTGTGTACTTTTGAGAGTAATGACATTGAGAAAATACATCCATATCCTTGTCATTCTCTAATTTTGCACTCCTCCAAGGACCCTCGAAGAGCAGCGATGTTAGAATACCACATACTTGTAAAGGCCAATGTTAAGGCTAAAAATAATTCATGACAGTCACAAGAAGTGAACGATTAAACCTGGCCTTAGCCTATAAGATTTCGTCAAATTAATTACTCCTCTCCCACTTGTAATTTACTAACGCCTCCAAAGTATACGCCCCATTGTTTTAACAAATTGAAAGCTACCCCTTTATTTGATTCAGTAACGCCCTTGTCTGGTATCCTGATGACTTCACTGTCTCGGTCGAATGAAAAGTGTCACGATTGACTGATACTGCTATAAAAGTATGTGCAGACTCCCAAGTGTAATCTATTGAATTGCCTTTTCCCTTATTAAAAACAGTCTGAAGAATTACATTGACATTCACAAGTTACTCGCTTTAATTAAATCCAGTGAATAGTCTGGTTGTTTATATAGTGTATCACTGGATTCAAGTTTTGTTCTTTTTGTAATACTCCCTCACATATTCGGACAATTCCTTAAAAATGAATCATGACTTATTACAATTTTAATGCAGTATTTTTTATCTTTGAAGTCCTAAGAAATCGAACTATAGCCCGGCCCTGTCCTTGTCACTCCAAAGCACCATGAACCAATTAAAAGTTGCACTCATAAACTCGGGGCTATACTTGAAATGCTGGAGGACATTAGACTAGCTCATTAAGAATAGATTCCAATGCACTTTGAGTATATGAACTGACAGCTCAAACCAGTGCTTCATTTTCAGCCCCACTGCCCTGTCAGCTGCTTTAATGTGGCTGTACATATCCGTCTTGTCTGTTTCAGGGTCACTGTGTTGGAGACTGGGAGCCTGCGAATCGCCAATGTCACCAAGATGGACGCTGGGCTGTACACGTGTGTGGCCAGGAACCAGTTTGGGGTGGCAAGCAGTGCTGGGAGTCTATTGGTGAAAGGTGAGTTGTACCAATTTGTCATAGGACTACTTCTTGGGTGTGGTAATACATACCCATGTCCATATATCTTTTGGTTACAACATTCAATATTTAGAAACTATTAGACTGTCATTGCCCATATGTCATAAAAAACATTGTACACTGTAAGACAATAAGTTAGAACAATCATATATTGGTCTAAAATATTTTTGTCTTTCTTACACACATTTATACAGTGGTAGAACTTTTAATGTTATTACAAATGGAACGGCATACAATTTCAAATTATTTGGGATTTAGAAAAAGAGTTAGTCTTAGCAGAGGCCCTTGTGAGTAGATGAAATGACATTTGTGGCGCAAGTTGGCATAGAGAATCACAAGAATCAAGAAAAAATGAACAAAAATATCAAAATCTCTTTATATTTGACCCTTTTATTTATTAAATTATTTTTAAAGTCCTGCTTTGTTCTTGCTTCTGACAGGAGTGTATGTATTTTAAAAGAGCCCAGCAGATCTACAATTGGACCCATGTAACTGTTCCTGTCCAAGTCACATGGTTCAGTAATTGTGTCGATGTCCTTGAGTTGTTTGTCACCAAGCTTTATAATTAAGTAAGACCCTTCTTTATAGCTGTCAAAGTAATGATATAGAGGCAGCCAGCCCCAGCCAACCACTGCTGAATTTAAACAATGTGCTGACCCTGAGTACACAGTGTAGGAGCACAATAAGGTAATACTGCTCCCCATAGCCTTTACCTGACACATACACACCAATTAGTTGATTGGCAGTGGCTCCAGGAAACAGGGCTCCAGGCTCTTTGCATTTTGGCACCTCCATGTTTAATTCATTATTTCCTTTTTTTCCTGTGGCGTCTAATAGCCCCGCTCAGATTGCTTAAGATTTCAATCCACTGATATCACACACTTGTGCAGCACAATGCATTTCCTTGGTCCTTCTAAACAGCAGAGTCAACAACAGGCCTCTATTAGAATGCCTTTTGGTGATTCGTCTTTGTGAGATTTTTGAATTGCAAATGGGCTCGCACTGAAACCTGTTTTTGTTTTGCTTCACCTTCACAGACTCTACACAGGGGCAAATAGAGCCTTTATACTGTGTATGTGCAGTTTAGTCGACATGTTTGTAAGGGCAGCTGGGAGAAAGAAAACATATAGAATAATGTATTCAAATCCTCAACTCTGCCTCAGCACAATGACTTTATTATGTAAAATAGCACAGCTTTAAACTGTGGCAGGATGATGCCACTCTACAGTCATTTGCTCCACTTCAATTGTGCTGACAGAGGTGGACTTAAAACACATCATAAAACTCAAGTAGAAGAACTACAAACTTCTTCTTCAGTATACCTGTTACTGTACGATGTAGAGGCTGAACGGTCAAACATAATTTGTCTTGTTTATGATTTTAACAAAAGTTAACTTAAACTCATTCTTGCATGCTAGTAGTTCTTCTTGAAGTAGTTTCCATTTTTCTGTAAATGAAAAAGGAATCAAAACTGAAATAAACATGTTACCCTTGGACATGAATCCCCAAATAGCAGGGCTGTTGATTAAAGAAGAAATTCTTGGTCAACTAAAGATGTCATCTAATGTCATGCCGATCGATTAACCAAGGGGGCATGACAACAGCTCTTAAAACTACTTATCTCTAGGCAGTGGACAAAACTGCTCTCACAAGACTACACTTGCACAGTAGGTCATGCAGAAACAAGTATTTATGCAGAAAAATGGACAAGGAAACAATTTAAATCATGTGTTTAATAAATACCAAAAAATACAAAATTCTGCTTCAGCCAACTCACTCACCCAATAGCTTCTCCTTTCTGCTGTTGTCCCATATAAAAGCATCTAATTGAAATACAATTATTAGTACACTAATACAAGTTTTGGTCAACTAAGACACCATCAAACGATTAATCAACAAAACAACTACAGCTCTACAGCCCTACCCACTGGTTTGTTTTTTAACATTGATTTACTATTCTTAAAATGGCAGTCAGAGACCAATAGAAACATGCTTTTGCCTCATATGACCTCCATTTCACATTTTTCAGCCTGTGATATTCTGAACATGACATCTGTATATGTTACAACATTAGTGCTTACAGCAAAGAAACCTAAACTTGCATCAGTTCACACCGACTAATAGTGAGCGTGACTGGATGTTAAATTTCTCTTCTTTCCTACAGGCAGAGCTGACCTGAGGCGCCCATGTTTATGTACCAGTGGCTGTGATCATTTGTAGTCTCAGCAGCAGTCTCCCAGCATGGCTCTTTCTGGTCATTCACTTTGTAACATAGTCTGCATGTGTACAGTAAACCAGCTTTCTGCTTGTTTAACAGTGCACTGCTGTCCCATAGGGTCCCACAGTATGAGACTCCCTGTTCAGAGCTGCCGCAGGAAACAAGGGAGCCAATTTGTGATTTTTCTTGCAGACATAACGGGAGGCAGCGTGACAGGGTTGCTTTTACAGTCACAAACTTTTTGCCCTTCGTCTTGTTTTGCATCTGATGCCAAAGTTTTCCTGAACATCACCTGACCAGTCCCTCCAGTAAGGGGCAGAAAGGAAAAATAATTGTGTTTGTTGTGACAATAGTGAACATAGAGAGATATAGTCTGCAATACTGGCTTGTCTATTCACCTGATCAGATTCTGCACAGTCCAACCAAAAGTCTGAAAGTAGTGCTACCATTTTCAGGGGTGTAGCACAAAAATCTGGACCTAGGGTATCTTAATAGGCCTGCACTACTGCTACTATAACTACTATTATCATTATCATTATAACTATTATCAGCCCCAATACACTTTAAACGTTAATGTTCTGGTTGAGATATAAATATTGCTCAAATTGTGAATGGATTGTTAAATTTACCACAAAATTGCAGAAATATCACTTTATAACATTGATTGGGAGAGTACACTGCCTATCTCTGATTTTTATACTTTTTAAAATAATTGATTGTTTAATTTCCTAGCGAGCCAGAGTGTTGGAGACGTGTGGAGACATTTTTTTAAATATTCCATCCAGTTTGCAGAGTTTGCTGGTGCTAGGCTAGTGCATGTCAATGGCCATAGTTAGCCTGCCATTAAATACAGTCTCACCCACTCCACAAAACACCCAAAGCAAATCTATTATAACACCAGACTATTGAGGTGAATGTCTGTGTTGATAGAATAATTTCACAAATAAAACTAACCTTGCATTGCATGAATCGTCAGATGTTAAGGGACTATTTTCTCAGCAGAGACGAAATACTTTGCCGGTAAGATAGGTGCTGGTGATATCAGTCCTCCACTGTCGAGCTTTCCTTCAAATGCAAGGTTGGTTTTACTTCTAAAATTATTCTATTGACACAGACATTTACATCAACAGTCTGGCGTTATAATTGTTTTGACTCAGGTGCTTTGTGGAGTGGGTAAGACTGTTTTGAGTGGCAGGTTAACTATGGCCATTGACATGCACTAGCCTAGCACCAGTGACCTCTGCAAATACAAGGACTGGATGGAATATCTAAAAAAGTGTCTCCAACACCCTGGCTCACTAGGAAATTAGGTCCTATGTCCAAAATTCCGGACTGTCCCTTTAATCTGCATATCTCTAAAACAACAACAACTACTACTACTACTCCAACTATCACTGCTACTTTTACCCATAGTTCTACTTACTCATGCCAGCTACTACTAGTACTGCTTCTACTTCTGAATTTTTCCAAGGCAAAAAGTAAAATATATTAAAATAGAAAACTATTTTACTGCTTCCCACCCCTGCTGTTAGTCCCTTTTTTACAGTAAGTATTATTTCTACTGTCCCATCCTATAGTCTATTCCTCCATCCACACTACTATATTCTGTGCACTGTGTTGAGTAGGATGCCCAGCAGAGACAGACCAGAGATTATGCTGATGTGCTCCATGCCGTGCAGTGAAATAGGATGTTTTTTTTCTTTGTCTGAGCAAAATTATAGACTCAGCCCTGACCTGATGAAATGGCTTCGCTTTCCCTTTTGTTTGTTTGTTATTTCTTTCCTGCAGTACTTTAGTGATATATATATATATATAATACAAATCTGGCCAACTCAAAGGGAGAAGGCAATATAAGCTCACTGACAGCCGTAGAAGTAATTTGTCTTGAGACGCATTATTAATGTTGGTAGAAAATCCCGCAACAGGATTCTGCCCAGCCTATTTTGTTCATGTCAATAAATTTCTGCAATGTTCAAAGCAGTGAAAAAGCATTATTCACACATGAGCCACTTCAGCTTCCATTTTAATTTGTTTTTTTGTGTTTGTTTCTGCTCTCTCTCCGCAGAGCCGACCAGTATCACAAGCCCGGCGGGTCATCTGGATGTGACCGTGGGAGAGAGTATAGTCCTGCCCTGTCAGGTTTCCCATGATCCAACACTGGAGCTCAAGTTCACCTGGTTCTTCAATGAACAGCTCATCCACTTTGGCAGTCACGGGGCCTATTTTGAAAAAGTTGGTGGGGTAAGTGCATCTTTGTTTGCAAATATAATACATGTAATTATCAATGTAACACTCCGTACTCTATATCTCAATGTATGTTTGTGATCGACAGTCAAATTTTTTTCTTGTAAAGGCCCTCTATTACATTGTTTCCCAAAGACTGGGTCCCAACCCTCAGGTGGGTCGCAAGAGTTTTTTTTGAGTTGCCTTGTCACAATCCGCATGTAGGTCTGCAATATACAGTTCTGACACATGAGAGAGCTAGTGACTATTTTGTTCCAACATCACTGGTTCAATTGAATGTTGAAAAGAAAAAGAAATGGGCATTTACATTTAATGCCCAAACAGGCAACATAAAGATTTCTTTTATTGCTGGTTCAATTTCTGTTATTAATTGTTTAAATTGAGTTCAAGACAGACACAATCACTCAGTCAACAATAAAATGTCTCATTAATGTTCAATATTGGTCAAATCCACATTTATGAATATTGTGTATTGACTGAAGGTTTGTGACTTTTAAAGTATGGGTCTCCAGAAAAAAAGTTTGGGAAACACTGCTCTATTAAGCAAAATCGACTCTTGTGAGCAGCAATATGACTAATGTTGCTGCTCACAAAAATATCTGGATTTGGGTTTTGAGTAAGCCTTTATTACTTGTTTCTATTTCCAAAACTCAAAATTCTCTGTTCCATCTTGTGATGTCATGAAGCAATAGTTTAACTGAACAGCTACCTTTTACCTTTTTTTTCCTTTGAGATCGGCAATTCCAAGGTTGAAATCATCCAAATGATTCTAGTGAATGTGTATGGACTTTAAAAACACAGTGGAGTACTTGCAGAACTCTTAATCTGCTGGGTTTGTGTTTTAAACATGTGTGAATGAGACAAAACAAAACTCCACGTATGTTTTGATGCGGGAACAACAACATTAAATAGATTAGATTAGAAAATAGTGTAATATAGACCCTTTAAAGGTGAATTATGCGACTTTTCTGCTTCTCTTCTTCCCTCTATGGCAAAGATATTGCTTTGCATGGAATTAAAGGCAAAGTAGAAACATCTCCAAGGAGATGAGCAGGTGGTAGACCCTCCACAGCATAACTATAGTATGCCCCTTAGTGTTACATTCTAACTGTTCTTTTCATTCTAAATAAAATAACGAACTATAATACAGCCAAAATTATGGTGATCAGTGAGAAATGCGGAGTAGAATAGCTCAAGGGAGAGGAGAAAGGCCACAATGCAAATGTACAAAATTGAACCATTAGCTGCAGTTTTTGGCCTCACTACTCTGAGCACAAACCACTTTCTGAAATGTGTGAAAAATAAACTCCTCCTGTGACCTCTGAGATAGTTGTTGTTCTCGTGGGCTGTCTCGCGGTTCTCTATGTCCCTTTCCCAAAAAGTAGGAAATAAAGTTCGCAAACTCGCTAATATCCATCTGACCTACTATTGGTGCCAGTAATGGTTTATGCTTTAGGCACTTTCGGGCTTATTAAATGCAATACAAACAAAATGTAATTCCAAAGTTTGAAAATACATGTCCTACTTTTCAGATAAATGTAAAGGTCCTATATTACTCAAAATGACCTCTTGTGAGCTATACGTCATGTTAGAGTGTTGTTACCTGATCAAAAACATTCCTGAAGTTGTGTTTTGTTTCATTCACACATGTTTGAGTGACCATTTATGATTGGTCTGTTTACATCTCCAAAGCTCAAAATGCTCTGTTCCATTTGTGATGTCATGTAGTGGTTGTGTTCATGTTCGCAGCTACCTTTTAACTTTTGTTTAGCAGAGAGGGGCAAATCCAGAGATGAAATCATCTAAATGCTTCAAGTGAAGGTGTATGGAGTTTAAAAACACAGTGGAGCACTTCCTGTTTTAGCACATGACATCACAAGGTGGAACAGAGAGAAAAAACTGTAAATATACAGGTTTGTGTGTTAAACGTGTGAATGAAACAAAACACAACTCCAGATATGTTTTGTGATGAGGAAACCACATCAGACCACAACAAATCAGAAAATAGCATAATATACACAGCAAAAACTGGAGGGTTAAAATTACAGGGTGAAATGTTTCAAAGTTGTTTTTAACACAAAATGGGTTATTTTAACTATTTCAAAGTTAAATGGGGGTTCCAGTTGGGGTTATTTCCCAGAATTAATATGGTTGAAGTAAATTCAACTTTGGTTTGTGTTAATTTGGCACCTCCCACCCATCACTTTAAACTCCTGTGAGAGTAGACCAGTTTGAACCAGTTTTGTATATAATTTCATTTTAAATTATCTGAAATAAAGTCTAAGGATAAAACATCTCTGTGTATTGTTTAGCTAAATCAGGATAACTCTAGAAAGTGTTATCCATTTCCTCTCAAAACGTTAATATAACTCTTGAGTTCAGGGTTAAAGAGGAATTTTGGTCCAGTGTTACTGAATTAACATTTCCAGAAATGTTAAATTAACTCTAGAACAGATTGGATTCATATAAACCCTGAGAAAATGTTAAAAATTGATTCTGTGAGAGTAATTTTTAACTCTCCCTTTTTTGCTATGTAGGCCCTTTAAAATAAATAGAATATTATTTATTTGAGTTGTCAATGAATGTAATAATGATGCACGTGCTTTTAGATAGTAACACAGTTCTGTTACCTGTTCATGGGTTAACCATTCATAAGATGTAATATTTTGTTTTGCATTGTTAATTCCTACAGCAACAGACTGAACTTTTCATTACTCTGAATCCCTAGTGTAATTAGAGCTAGGTACTGTTAAATGATACGCCTGTTCCATCGTTTAAAATAGCAGATTATAAAAGTAATTCAAAGTCAAACAGCAACAAAACAAAAACATTAGCAGAACGAACTGCATCCTATAATCAAAAGCTCAAACTGTAATATAAATTGAAATCACACTCATTGTTAACCTAATACTTTATATTTGATTGGAATAGATTAAATTAGATTTTCTCATGTCCGATCTGGCGGTGCTCGTCAACATGCGTCACTTACATCTCTATAAGTATGAAAATGTAGATTTCTTTGTTTCTGGCCTGCATTCATTATTGTACACATGCATATAAAGTGTGCCGCGGGAATGAGACAGAATACTAAGTTGATTATTAACACATTCTCATTATGGATGGATGTCAGATGAATCTTTTAAAGTGCGTGAGATAACACTTGTTCACGCTGAATCATACATATTGGATTTGTCTTGGAGGGCTTTATATTCAGTTATTAGCACCTCCTTCTTTCACTACAGAGGAATTCATTATTCAGAGCTCAGCCATGCATCGCAATTGATCATCTAGCACTAAATACGTTTCTCTTTTAATTAGCAAAAGCAATTATGAGGTCTCGCTTCTCACTACCTCGTGTTGATGTGGCATTTGGTGAGATTGGAGGGAGGAGGCGGGCTGTGTGATTGTTCTCAGCGCAGGGTTGATCCAGATACTTGACTCCTCCACATGAAGAGTGAAAGATCCTGATAAACTAACCACGGATCAGCCTCACTGCTTAACTTTTCTCCAGCTCTCTCCAAACACCACACCAGACTGACATTTTACAGACTATTGCACCAGTAAGTTTCATTTACCTGACCAGTCAGAATCACATGCTTTACAAACTTTACAAAGACAAGTGGATCTGGAGCTATATCCTTGTATCCTGTTTCTCTGATTTCAGAGGGTGTGATTGACAGAGAGATGCATGTTCAGTTCACGTCAAAAACGTCCAATACTGTCCAATACTGTGCCTACTCTGTGCTGCACTTTGGAGACTTTTTGTTGGTAAAAAGTTCTATACAAATAAAGTTGGATTGGACTGGAAAACAAACACGGCTGCTTACTAGGGATGTAACAATAACCAAAATATCATGATATCATATCGTCAAAGTTCTCACAATAATATTGTGGAGCATCATAATATATCGAATTACAGTCTTTTTGCTTAAATTAAAAGTTACGGTACAGCAATAGTTAAAAGACCATGATTCTTTGCCCCATTTCACTGCAGACTACAACAAGAAATAACAGTTTTACACACTTTTAAGTCTTTGTTCTTTGGATTAAGTCTTGTCATAGCATATTAACAGTAATAATAATATATCGTAATATCGTACAGTGAGATGTATATCGTGAAAATATCATACCAAGAGATTTGAATATTGTTACATCCCTAATCGTGAGTCTCCCCACCATATCATGAGCTTTCCCACGATATCACAATAAATATCATACATTGAGGTTCATACTGTGACGATATCGTATCGTGAGACTTGGATATCGTTGCACCCCTACTGCTTACACATCATTACATATCAACGTAAACGACAGAATCAACAATCAAAGACCCAAACATATTTATCTCAGGTAAAAGAAGTTGTACAGCTGAACAGAATGGGGTCTGGCTGGTCCGGCAAACGTTTCATATAGTTACAATGAAAGGAAAAGAAGTGATCATTGTTGTTGTTACAGTAGGAATACTAGCAGTATATATATACTGTACTATGAAACTTTACCGGTGTAGAGTAAATCACCTGCTTGACTCCATGGAGATTTTACTGCTTCCCATAGAACGCTATCTATCTCCATGGAAACAAGCTGTTAAAGGCAGTTAAAGATCAGGTCTATGGAGAGGCTATTCTATTCACAGTAAGAATACATGTGTTTCAAAGTATTTTTCGAGCATTAAAACACTTGTATTAATTAATAAATGCAACATAGATTTTTATGCCATATTGTGGAACATTCTTTGCAAAGCATCTTCTTGGAGACGAGCATTTTTCTACATACTTTCATGGAAGGATTAGTTATTTAGCAACCCAACCATTTTTTTTATGTAATAACCCCCAACATTCACATTAAACAACTCTTTGTGTGAAAGTCTTATGCTCTGATGGTTTTTCTTTTAGTGGTTATTGAAAATGGTCAAAAGGCCCTAAACTAATTTGAAGTGTTCTCCCTTGGCTGCCCGACATACTCAACTGATTACTCAGATGAGACCAAGAACACTGGCATTTAAAATTCAAAAACAGATTTTATTCAGCTCCCGTTTATTATTTTATTCATGCAACTCCATGAATATTCTTTAACTCAGACCTGGGCTTACCTTCAGTTTTTCTGGCTTCTCTATGCTATCCTCCTTGATAGATATGACTGAGTACTGACAAAAGGCACCAGACCAATCCCCAAAAAGCGAAGGTACTTTCTTTTAGTTACTACTTCCACTAAACTGCTGGATGGGTCGCCACAAATTGATGATGCAACAGTTATTCTTTAAAGTAAATTTCATTAGAGATAATTATTCGTATAGACATTTGTGCCGAACAAGAATAGTTCAAGTATCAATACCAGAAAACAATAAAAATAAAATAAAGTTACCCAGCACTTGTTAAATATCCATAATGGACTATATGTTTCTTATTTGTTTATATACATTTAGTCATTTATCCACTCTTAAAATCTGGTAAATGATTTGAAGTTTAGACACATCCAAATGCGGTAATGTAGTGCTGGAAGAAGTGACCCCAAGCTCTTTGTGAAAAACTTCTAAACCAGTTTTACTTGCAGAACAATTTACTGCATGTTATCGGCTGCTCCTGATGCTTAAAGAAAGGGTCAAATTCAAAGGACAAATTTCTGTTTGGGGACAATAAAGTACACCTTAACCTTAAATTACTGCACTCTCAATAGGGGACCAACAATAACAGCAAAAAATGTGTTTAGAACAAACCTCTCGCAACAACTCCCAAATGAGACCTGAATGTAATGGGATATAAATTACATTGAAAATAACTCTTCACAGTGGCCCGATGAAATATATATGTTTATACAAAGAGGATAAAACAAGAGCTCCCGGTGCACTGTTTCGGAGATTAGTTGTATTGAGGAGAGTAGTGCCTGGGGCTACATCATTAATAAATACCTTATATACTGCATTGTACTAAACTAAGTGCTCTCCTGTGCTGCCATCACAGAATCAGACAGGAAACTGTAAATCGAGGAAATGAGCCATAAGATGTAGAATAGTGGCGCTCATTAACCCAACTACAGAGAAAACTTTTCTGTGATGTCTACATCCATTTGAAAAGAGGTAATGAGAGAGTAATAAGTTACACTGGCTATATTTGCACAACAAAATTTAATGAATATCTAATTTCTGGAGTTTTAAGTTTATTTCAGTAACAGGCATACTGCAACACCTAATGTGAGTAGAGGGACTAGGATCAGAAAGAAATCAGGTTTCTGGCATCAGACTTTGCTGTTAACTTAATAACTTATAATTCTAAAAATCAGACACTAATTAGGTTTTGAGTGTGCATGTAACTGCAACCACTGTGTGATGTGTCATTGCAATTTGTCCTTGATTACCTGCAAGTTATATAATTGTAATTAGTGGGGGACTGTTACTCACACATCATGACATTACTCACTAAGTAAAGGTAATGGGACAGTAGAAAGAATATGTTTTCATTTAAATTGTAACAGATGAATTTTCATGAAAAGGCCTCATTTTATATTTAAATAGGCGGAAAATGTGATTGCATGATTAAAATGCAGTTTCTACCATAGCAGCAGAACAATCAGCCACCTCACCGTCTTCATCTTTCTTGTTTTCTGGTCTTAAATGACCACAAGTACATCTCTCCTTTACAGAATGATTACAGTTTTGTTTATTTTTCTCCTCTTCACCACCTCAAAAGTAGAATGTGATTTTATTTTTCATTGCATCACTGACCAACCTGACAGTGTCTAAGCAGCAAAATCATTCAAGTAACTAACTATAGTATGTTCCTTCTTTCTTTATCACTGTTTAAAGTTCCACAAATTTGACTATTGTGAGCTTTTAGCCATGTTATATTGTTGTTAGTCCTCAAAAACATACCTGGACTTGTGTTTTGTTTCATTCACACATGTTTGAGTAACCTTTTATTATTAGTCTGTTTACATCTGCAAAGCTCAAAATACTCTTTTCCACTTTGTGACATTATGAAGCTGTAGTTTTCAATTTAACAGCTCCTTTTACCTTTTGATCAATAGAGATTGGCAATTGCAGGGTGTGTGGAGTTTAAAAACAAAGTGGATCACTTTGTTTTACCACATGACATCACAAAGTGGAACAGAGTGTTTGAGTTTGAGAGAAGAACTGTGTTAAACATGTGTCAATGAAACAAAACACAACTCCAGGTATGTTTTTGATGAGGATATGATGAGGATTATAAGATAGATCAGAAAATAGCCTAATATGGGCCCTTTAAGTGGATGCACTGTTGTAGTTGACCTAATGTGACTCCATAAGTAACTTAACAACTCATGTAATAGAATAAGCTGAGTTTGATGTTCTATAGTGATACGCCACGTGGCCTGTACTTACTATATTCTGCTATCTCACAGGATTTCTTTACCAGAGCTGCGGGCAGGGCTTTGTAAAATGTGACCCGCTCCTTTCACAGTAATATTATTTTAATGATGGCACTGCATTTGGGAGAGTGGATGACTGGAAGCGACTGAATTTATCTGCGTAAAATGTCCCTGATTATAGACCAAAGTAATTATCAAGTGCCATCCTGTCTCGCCGGCTTCAACTTTAACAACTAAGATGAAAGCTAATAATATATTTTGCAATGAATGATCTTCTGTAGAGTTAATGAAATACAGTTGAATAGAGCGGCGACAAAAGCAGCTCTTGTAAAAATTAATGTAGAAAAATAGCACCTTAACGTTTTCTGTGTCCATAGACATGTAGGTTTGTGTTTTTGAATTGTGAATGAGAATCACGGCAACTCTGTATTTGAAGGTTGAGAATTTGTCTTTTGTTGTTTTGTTTTTTACAGCGCTCCGCCGGTGACATTATGATCAGGAACATCCAGCTGAGGCATGCTGGGAAATACACGTGCGCCGTTCAAACCAAAGTGGACAGTGTTTCCATTGCTACTGATGTGGTCGTCAGAGGTAAGAGCTAAAATGATCTCATCAGTATAATATGCAATTAAATAAACAGCAATTTTGCAGTGTAAAGCCCATTTTACCTTGAGAAAGCTTAATACCGTCTGATCACATTAGATAAGCCTGCTTTGTATTTGGATGGGAGACCACTGGGCCTATCAGGTGCCACAGTGAGGCAGCAGTAGTGCAAACTGTGACTGTTGTTGTATTCTTTGGCAAGACACTTTACCCACATTGCCTAGTCTGAATGTGGTGTGTGCCTGAGTGTTGGCAGTGGTCAGAGGGGCCATTTGAGCAGATTGGCATTGCTCGCTTCCATCAGTCTACCCCAGGGCATCTGTGGCTACAGTGTCTTACCATCACCAAACACTATAAACCCAAATAAGTTACCTGAACTCATAAAAAATTAGGCAATCAATTACCTCAATTATTTTAAGTTGATGAACTTAAAAGTCACAATCTTCCAGAACTACTTTTTGATTACAGCTTAATTAAAAGTTAAATTAAACCAATTATTTTCATTTATTATGACTTAAATTTGGAAGTTTTCAAACCCCTGGAATAAGTTTACTTTTTTGGTGAACCGCTTTGAAATTGTATTGTAGTTCAGCATGTACTATACAAATTAAGTTTATTTTTAAATCATCCCTATTTGAAACAATAGAAATGACAGGACTTTATCATTCTCATCTTTTAGTTACTTCAATCTACTAAAATGTACTTCATCTATGCTTTTAAGTTACACTCACTTATACCAACAATTTCCTTTAATCAAAAGACATTAGTTAACATTACTCAAAAAGAAGAACATGTTACAGCAACTTGACATAATTAAGTTAGTAGGACTATTTCTAAAACTTTAACTATACGCAACTTAATCTATATAATTATTTTGAACGTTCGGGTTTAGACTGAATATGGAGTGAATGAGTAACGCAGTGTAAAGCCTCTGAGTGTCTTCAAAGGTGCTATATAATCCAATGCATTATTCTACTTTTATTAAAGGCAGCAACACATCTGACACAGCAACAGCAAGCTGAAGAACTGAAAATTTGATAAGATAAATATAAACTTCAGGTCTTAGATGGAATACTTGATATTCTAATTTACATGTCTTCAAAACAACTATTTCTACTTCTTGTTCTTGAGCGGAGTTGTCATTGTTTAGCTTTATTTATTTATTTCGTAGTCTTACGTGGTGGAACAACAGCAACGTTCTGGTCCTTCTCTTGGCGATGGAGGCTTTTCTCAGTACTGTATGGTAATACTTGAGTCCCATCAAGCCTCAGCACTTTTCTTTTATAAGCTTTGCATTTAAATCAAGGTAATAAGCACTTGTTTTGTTAAAAGATAATCAAGCTGCGCTGATTGAAAACCCCAGAAGGTTATTACTCTTTCAGAATACTAAGTAGGAGACAAAAACATGGAAAACTTTCTTGCTCTTGCTAAATGCTTTCAATTAGTGGATTATATGAACACATTATACAGCCCAACCAGACAGTGGATTGAAGCAAAGTCTGTGAAGCAAAGGCCTGCCACCATATAATTATAAAATTGACTTGTCTTGTTCGATATATGAAAATTGGAACCATATATTTTGGGGCTCAATATTTATCGAAGATACTTTTTCGTTGCAATAGTGGGTAGATTTTAGCCATTGTTATGTAATACGATGAGTTTTGAGCTGTAGAGGATAAAATAAATAACTGTTATATGATTACAGTGTTGGGGAGGTTACTTTTAAAACGTATTCCCCTACAGATTACAGATTATATACCCCAAAATGTAGTTTGTAACGGAATCCATTAAATTACTTAAAGTGAGTAAAGTAATTTGAATACTTAGGATTACTTGATTTGCTGTAGAGAAGCAAAGACTAGGATATCGTAATATAAGATGTTCTGTCTGCTAAAAGGCAATGAAAAGCTCAGACTTTACTTAACCGTTTTAAAAATATTATTGAAAGAAGAGGAGGAGGAGGTCTTGTTAAATCCTGTTTTAGTCCTGGTTTACTCCTGGTTGAGGCCTGGATTTAGACCTGGTTTAGATCTGGGTTTGGACCTGGTTTGGACCTGATTTGGACATGATTTGGACCTGATTTGGACCTGGGTTTAGACCTAGTTTAGACCTGGGTTTAGACCTGGGTTTAGACCTTGTTTGGACCTGATTTGGACCTGGGTTTAGACCTAGTTTAGACCTGGATTTAGACCTGGTTTGGACCTGATTTGGACCTGGTTTAGACCTGGTTTAGGCCTGGTTTAGTGTCTGGCGATGACTGGAATTACAGGAAGAAAAAAACAAAAAAAAAGGATATAGCCCAAAATGTGAAAACAGGAAAATACCACTCTGTAATCCATTTATTTCAACAAAGTAACTGTAATCCAGTTACCACTCATTCAAACAGTAACTGTAACCAAATACAGTCACTTACTTACATAATTTGTACTTTGATTACGTAACTCCGGTACATGTAATCCGTTTCTCCCCAACGCTGTATGGTTATCACTTTATTCTGCTATTTATTTATTGCAGCTCATGCTTTTTAAAGTCACATTGTGTGTAGTTTTTTATTTATCAAATGCTTTTCTCCATAGCGCTGTTATTACAAATGTTTCACAGTATGGTATTAAACCTTTGTATTATCAAGGAAACCAAGTTACAGGTCAGATCTGTGGAGAGGCAACCCCGCTCACAGTCACAGTGCCTGTTTTTCTAGGTATTTTTGAGCTAAAACCACCTGTAAGTGAATAAATGTAAGGTAGAGCTGTTTAATTCCAAACTGTGGAACATTTCAAGCAGAGCTATGTTTCCATACAAACAAGAGGATGATGGACCCCCTACCGGAAAGCTACGTAATGCACCTTTAATGATACAGTCTCTAAAAATAGATTTACTGGGATTATCCAGCTTTGTCTCAGCGGCATAAAGTAGTTCCAGTATTAGCAGTTATCGCAGTATATCTCTGTATCATTATATCATGCTTTACAATCTGTTATCGTGAAAGGCGCGCGTGGAGTAGCAGTGAAAAACATACTTCCCTTTTAAATTTGAAATCCCTTTATATATCCTGCTCATGAATTGTGGTTTATTCAAAATCTCGGGAGCAGAGCCAAAAGTGAAATATTTCATCAGAAAATACAATATGTTGAACATTTGTCTACAGGGTGTTTATGACAGTTTGGGAAATTCCGCCGCCTGAATTTTAAATGTTACACAATTTGTCACATCTGTTGCTGCAAAACTGTATATTTTTATTTCTGCTTTCCCCATTCCCTGATTTGAAAAGAATAAATATTTAAATGTTTGGCTAAATTGCACTTGCAGGATATAATCAGTTTGGTGTTCTGGTGCAGGTTTACAAAGCTATCTTGCCAGTGGATACACATGAATATTAGAAAACTCATTATTACAAAAGCATGGTAGTTGTGAATGTCGTGTGCACGCTAATGGACAAAGGGAGAAGCAGAGGTTTAGCAGCAGGGAGTGTTGTCTAATCAAATGGTAGCAAGCAAAATCACATAGTTTGAGGCTACATTATAAATAAAAAACTGCAGCGTTTGGGTTTGATGTTCACATTATTATTAAAATAGCCCATATTATGCTTTTTCCTGATCTACAGTATGTTATAATTTTGTTTTCCTCATCGCAAACATACCTGGAGTTGTGTTTTGTTTCATTCAGATGTTTAACAAACCCTGCAGATTTAGGCTGAGCTCGTCTCCCAAAAGGAAAACAGTCCCACCTTGTGATGTCATGTGATGTTACAGGAAGTGATCTACTGTCTCCACTGTCCACTCCATACACCTTCACTAAAATCATTTGGATGATTTCTGCCCTGAAATTGCAAATTTCTACTGAACAAAAAGTAAAACGTTGCTGTTTACTTGAAAACTACTATTACGTGACATCACAAGGTGGAACAGAGTATTTTGAGCGTTGAAGATGTAGACAGACTAATAGCAAAGTATTACACAAACATACTGTTACAGCCCCGGCTCAAAAGACCGCAACTAAGGAGGGAGGACACAACAACAGCAACGGTTTAAGCTCTCTGCTGGAGCATTTATTAAGTTAAGTTATTAATTATAATTATATTAAGTTACAATAAATATGTTCAAATAGTGCTAAAATGCGTTGTGGCAATCGGCCGATGGTGTGGTCAGGTGGAGTCGAACCAGAGGAGCAGCCATAGGTGTAGGTGGCGGGTCCCTTTTATAGGCGGCTGGAAGAGCTGGGCCCTAGTGCATCCGGGTCACCTCAAAACAGAACAATAATTAATCCAAACACGGCACAATAGGGCCATAAAAATACAACATAACAAAAGTCAATTTTGCATAATATAGGACTTTTGATACAACTGAAGCCGTTTTTGTCAACCTAACTGCATATTTGCTAGTTCAATAAGTGTAATGGGCTTCAGTAGACACACACACACCCCTGTAAGATAAAAAAAAATGTATTAACCTACATAACTAGAATGCAGCCATATTTAAGTAAGTAACTAAGTCTTTATTTATATAGCGCTTATGACATTTTTGTCACAGACGCTTTACAGAGCATTATTCAGCATTATTCAGTCACTCTATACCTGGTGATGGTAAGCTACCACTGCAGCCACAGCCGACCTGGGGCAGACCGACAGAAGTGTGGCTGCCATGCCAGTAGGCACCATCGGTCCCTCCGACCACCACCATCAGTCACGCACACACCACTTTCATACTAGGCAATGTGGGTGAAGTGTCTTGCCTAAGGACACACAATGATTGAATTGATTGTATTTAACTGACCTTGACTATCAACTCCTCTGGAGACCTATATAGCATGATTTGGGTTTAATTTTATCGAGTCACAAAAATGTTTTCCCTTAGACTTTTGCTTAACAGTGTGGGTAGGTATCGAGCATTAAAGATCTTTACCAACAAACTATCAGTTGTTGTAGTTGATTTTGAAATACTTATATACAGACCCCATTATATACAGACCCCAGTGTGTTAAATGTATATGTATAAATTTTCTTTTAGACCATTGTTTTGCTAATTCTTTTTTCTGGACATTTTGCTGCTTACAACAATTATGGCAAGTTTTTGGTTTGTGACACACAGTATCCTATCTTACTATGCTCTTAGAGGGCTGGAAAAATCTCGCCAGGCTACTGTAATGTTCCCTAATAGTACATGCTCTCCTTGCAGGTCCCCCTGGTCCCCCTGTGGATTGTCAGGTGACTGAGGTGACTGAGACCACTGCGTCTGTGTCCTGGGGACCTGGTCTGGACAACCACAGCCCCATCCTGAGCTACGCCATCCAAGCCCGCTCCCCCTTCTCCCTGGGCTGGCAGGCCGTCACCACTGGTAAGCTTCATGTGGCAGTGCATGTGATGGGAAGGCTAATGCTATTATAAAGCCTTGTTTCTGATAACCAGACTAAAAACTGCTCAAATAAGAGAAATATTATATACTACTAATACATAAAAGTCACACCCTCTCATTCAATGTTTATTTTTTCATTATGTTTATTACTACTACATTCTATATAGATACAGAAGACATGATGTAAGATGTAATGAATTATGTATCAAAGAAAGAAATAACTGAATCCTCAAATCCTCAAAGTAGCCACCCTTTGCTTTGTCAACAGCCTCTGCAAACCCTTGGCCTTCTCTCAATGAGCTTCTTGATAAAGTCTCTTAAAATGGTTTTCACTTCACAGCTGTGCCTTGTCAGGGTCAAGAAAAAACAAAAACAAGTTTGGAATTACTTGGAGTTTATTCTTTGGTTACTACATTCCATATGTGTTTTGATGCTGTCAGTGATAATCTACAATGGAAATAACCTTGGAAATAAAGAAGAAAAATAAATGAAAAAAGTGTGTCTATATACTGGTCTCTATAAATATTTTTGTTGGGATGCACGTCTTTCCAAAGTATTTTTAAACAATAAAAATGGCCATATTTGAATGAATGTGAGATAGACACATTCAGGCAAAACAATAACATCTCCCAGGACCATTTATTAGTAACATTTAGCACTTCAAGTTTAATTGACTGTTGGATTAGGTGAGTGGCTTTGCTCCAGGGCAGGGCAGAATGAGCCCCCATATCATTCAAAAAATCATTGAAATCTTATTCTAACTCTTAACGATACATTTTTTATTGCATGCAGAAATAACTGCACAGCCCCAGCTTCATTCATGTAGTCCATATGTGATGTGAAATCTAATGCTGTCTATGAAGTTATGTTTTCCTCTGATGCCTGCACATGAAACCACAGTAAATAGCGCAGTTTGGCTGAGTTTGGGTAGCAGGTTGGGGCAGGTTTGCGATGAAAGCCCTTTGTGTGTGATGTGTTTCAGTACCCGAGCGGCTGGGGGGGAAGCAGCTGTCAGCCGCAGTGACGGACTTGAATCCCTGGGTAGAGTACGAGTTCAGAGTCCTGGCTACAAACAGCATCGGCACTGGAGAGCCCAGCAGAGCCTCCAAACGCGCACGCACCAAAGAAGCGCGTACGTACTGATGTCTCCTGCCAACAGCCAAATCCCACATTTGAAAGAAAACTGTCTTTTTATATGAAATGCTACAGAAGAGAGGGAGGGAGGGGAAGTGTGGAATTAGAGGTATTTTCAGATGTAATGTAAAGATGGATGGTACAGTATATATACAATACATTTCTCTCAAAACACTCCACCTTGTGATGTCATGTGGTAATACAGGAAGTGCTCTACTGTGTTTTTAAACTCCATACACGTTCACTTGAATCATTTGGATAATTTCAGCCCTCGAATTGCCAAACTGTACTGAACTAAAGGTAAAAGGTAGCGGTTAACTTGAAAGATACCACCTCATGACATCATAAGGTGGAAAAGAGCATTTTGAGCTTTGGTGATGTAGACAAACTAATAATAAAGGATTACTCAAATGTGGAAATGAAACAAAACACAACTCCAGGTATGTTTTTGATGAGGTAACAGCATAATAACATAATTTAAAGCATGCAATCAATTTAGTCACAATATAGGACCTTTAATTTCTAAGTTTGTTTGTAATACATTTAAATAATTTTTAAATTTAAAAATAGCATTTTTAGTAAAAGAAAAAAACGTAAAAGTGCATTTGAGGTGAAATGCATATGACTCACAGTAGCAATCACACCTCTGTAGGTGCAAGTGTATGTCTGTGTGAGGAAAACAATGTTGGATAAAAATACAACCTAATTGTTATAGGAGGATTCACACATAAAAATCAAACATATTTGATGTTTGTCTGTTTGTCTAAGACCACAGAGCAGACAATAATTTAGAAAAACAACCCAGTATTTATAGTATTTTTTATTACTGTGGAGCTTTGTCACACCATGTAAACAGAAACATAAAATGGCATTATATTTCAATGCAATGGTTCAAGGCTATATTTATTTCCATTGAATATACATGTCTGGCAGATCACCATTCAGACTGATTTTGACATTGTTGTGTTTTGTTTCTCCAGTGCCCAGAGTGACCCCTGCCCGTGTGAGCGGAGGTGGAGGAGGCCGCTCCGAGCTGGTCATTACCTGGGAGGTACACAGCACTCTTTGGCCACTCTCATTATGTCTTTATAGCCTGTTGATTTGGTATTTTAATTTGAGAGCCTTTGAATATTTATAAGCAGTATGGATTTGAATAGACCTCATCAGACAGGCTCCAAGGTTCACACAAGGTTAGCCTAAAGAGCAGCCTTGCTACTAAAGAAGAAATCGAATCCTTTTTATGGTATAGTTATAATCTTTGATACATATAGATCCCTATTATACATTTTGTCTATTTTAAATCATAATATTTATCTAAAAAGATTAGTCCGTTGACTTGCTGTTGAAATTGGGGCTGATTTTTTTCTTGCTCCTTCACTTCTACGTAACGTCATCAGCCTAAATATAGGCACAGTTTACAGTAGTAGGCAGTTTTAGTTTTTTTTTCTTTTTTTTAAATGACTATGCAAGGGTGCTGAATCATACATGTATTATTGTGTATAAAAAAGAAAACTGAAGAATGACCGAAGTACAGTGCATGTGGGCGTGTATGGGTGGAAAGGGAAATGAAAAGATTACTCAAACATGTAGGAATCTCTAAAAATACTTTGAGAGCACAATGAGGACAACTTTTATTACATATTCCAAGCTCTTAAAAATTGATAGCATGTCTCCTAGTAAGTGGCAGTGTTCTGGTGAAGAGTGGTATTAATATCCTGAAGTTTTCCTCTCTTGAGTCCTGCATGAGTCATGTATGTATTCACAGCCTGTTCCAGAGGAGATGCAGAGCGGGCCCGGCTTTGGATATGTGGTGGCGTTCCGTCCTCTGGGAGCTCCGGGGTGGATGCAGGCAGCGGTCACCTCTCCCGATGCCTCTAGATATGTATTCAAAAACGAGAGCATCCCGCCTTTCTCACCCTATCAGGTCAAGGTGGGCGTGTACAACAACAAGGGGGAGGGGCCGTTCAGTCCTGTCACCACCATCTATTCTGCAGAGGAAGGTATGTGCTTTGTGGATTTATAGTTGTTTTTATCAAGTTACGGTGAAATAAGTGGTTGTGAGTTTTGATTATTAATATTTTTAGGATCTTTCTCTAAATTCGTTTTGTCATGCCGTAACTCTCACTGATACTCTATCAAAAACAAACTGATTTACTTTGCTTTTCTAGTATAGAATGTATTTATTTATTTATTGCTATTGTTATTATAATGGTAATCAAATTTAATTTACAGAACAAGTTGCACATTATTATTATTGGTGTGAATCCAGTGAGCAACCAGGCAGAGTCCTGCACTGGGCTGGGTACCCGACGGCGACAGATATAGGCAAATAGTTGCTGAAACGGGCAGGTTTTAACATTCTGGGATTTTACGGGCAGGTATGCAGGCGGTAGTGATTACACATAGGTGGGTCAGGACTAAACCAGGACTAAACCAGGTCTAAACCAGGACTAAACCAGGTCTAAACCAGGTCTAAACCAGGACTAATCTTGGACTTAAGAGAGAGAACCCCAAGCCCGCTGAGTAGGGTGTCCACAAAAAGCGATCGGCCGACGGCTGCGCTTACCTGGGTGTGGAGCTCTGCGCCGGTCCTTTCTCCTGCTGTCACCTGACAATCTACATGGGCACACCTCCGAGCCCATCCCAACAGTGAGTCCTGGTTCACTTCTAATTTAATCCTAGTTTACGCCTGGTTTAGTGCTCTTGGTTCAGTGCTCTTGGTTCAGTCCTGGAATCAGTCCTGGTTCAGTCCGTGGCATGTTTCTTCTGCTAATGCCTGTGGACTGATGACAGTACAGTCATGTTTGTGAATTCGTATTCGTAATGAAGAAACGTAACTGTTTCATTTCATTTCGTGATTGCAATTCTTGAAGTTGTAACTTTTCGATTCATATTCTAATGGCTGCTTCAGTTAGAATGCTTTTAATCTTGTGTGATTTATCATGGGCACAGGCAGGTAACAGGTGTAATGTTAACGGGTCCGGGCGGGTGCAGGTTTAACTCTGATATAATCACGGGTTAACAGGTGGGTGTGGTGTTGTACTGTGCGGGTGTGGGTGTGTGTGGGCCTCCAAAAATGGACCCTTGCAGGACTCTGCAACTAGGACCTTTTTCTGTAGTTTTGATTTTGCAATTCCTAGGCTCTTTCTCAAAAATACATTCTGTCACGTATTAACTCCCATACCAAAATTAAAACTCTTTATTGTTGATTATACAGTAAATAGCTTTTCAATGCTGCCTTTAGCTTAACCAGACAATAAATGTACTGAGATTTGAACAAAGTTAAAGAAAACCTTACCCTAAAATCTTTCTAGTCTTTCTACACACACACAGTCGTAGCAGTAGACAGCAGAGGATCAATGTTCTTAACTTGAGTACATTGGTTGCTGCATGTGTGGGTGCGTGTGTATGTGTGGGTGTGTGGGTGCTTGTATGTGTGGGTGTGATGGTGGATACTGGTACATTTCTAACTGCGTGCCGTGTGCAGAGCCCGGCCGAGCCCCCGGGAGGCTGAGAGCACGCAGCTTATCCGCGTCTGAGGTGGAGGTCACCTGGAAGCCCCTGGCCTGGAGCAACAACCGCAGACGCATCCTGGGATACGAGGTGAGACCAGAGCATGCCCACACACCAGCGCACTACAGAGAGGAGTCTGCATGCTGCTTCTGGCTTTGTTAGATTTCCAATAGCTCAACACAACTCACTGACCTTTTCAGTTGGCATATATGTGGGTTTAATTCATACACAGATTCAGTATTCTTCTACTTGCATTCTTACTCTGTGTGGGCTTGCATCTCCACAAACCTGGCTCTTATTTGACCTGGAGAAATCAGCCCTCTAACCTCTGAGCCACCTGTTGTAGTTGTGTTACTGTGTCTGGTGTAGTCATATATTGCTTTATTTGTCTGTTTGTAGTTGCGTTACTGGGGTGAAAGGGAGAAGCAGGACACAGCCCGGGTCATGAGGACGGTGGGAAACAGGACGTCCATTTTGGTTCGAGACCTGGAAGGCAGCAGCACCTACAGTCTGTGCCTCAGGGCGTATAACAGCGCCGGAGTGGGACCACCCAGCAACATCGTCAATGTCACCACCAAGAAACCACGTAAGGAACATATTAACTCTGCTGCTATGGCAACGGCTGACACATCAATTAGCCGATAAGTATTCTTTAACATCAAGACATCTTTGTATCAACACTAAAAGTACAATATTGTAGTGTCAGTGATATATATATATATAATAACAATAATAACATAATAAGACACAACCAGAAAACTTGACTTAGTCAAGGTTTAATCACAAAAGTCAACTTGGTGAAGTGATGGTTGATAAAAACAGACAAAAAATGTAAATGTAATTTAATGAATTACACTCTACAGCACTCAAAGATGCTTGAAACATAATCTTGCCATGTGAGATCTTTCTTCTTACACTCAATGGCCCCAAATAAAGTTCAAAACATTAAACAAAGAGGCTATCCTTCCTAATGTTGTATATTTTTGATGTGTTGTAATCCTTGGAGTCAGTGTGCTGCTTTAATCTGAGTGATGCATTTGATAGTTGAAGTTGAATTGACACAGAGACACATAGAGACTCAAATTCAAATTCTTTGAATGCAAAAAATATGTTTTACTCGTGTTTGTGCAGAGGTATTTGCATTCCATGTGAGTATGTATAATGCATGGTCGCACGGCACTTTCATAGGATGATCATTGAATGCATACATGATGAGTAAACAAAATAAACAGATCAAAGTGGGACCAATGAAGGAGATAACACAGAGACAAAGTGCTTTGAATTTCTGATTTGATTAAATGAAATCTAAAATAGAATAAAGTCATCTTTGGCCTTTTAAAGGTTGTATAGAGGATTTTCCAAGGAACGAGAAATCCAGCGACTGTTTGTCCTTTTTCAAATGTTGCGCATGCATGAAACCACCCCCCCTGCCCTACAGCTCCCTACGTAGAAACGCCTCCTCCCTCCTCCTCCTTGTGCCAGAAACAGGTTTGTTTACAGCCTTGAAAATTACGTTTTCAGACATAGGATATCGCTTTCGTGTCCTGAAAAACGTTTGTCTAACTCTTGGAAATAAAGTACGTTTTCATAATAAGCAGAAGTTACCTGTCCAGGAGTAATTTGTCGACCAATGCGTCAGTCTTTAGACCCTTCGTCTGCTTCAGTTGCGCCATCGCTGGAATTAATCTTACAAGAATCACCTTAGTTTGCCTTCGCTGCTTTTCCCCTTGTCTTCTTCTTTCAGCGACCTCAAAAACAGACTTTCTTTTGCGGCTAACTGCTCCTGGATTCTTGTCTGCCATTGCAACTTTGTGCTAACTGCGAGGAAGACATAGGTCAAAAAAAGCCGCTAACGCTGTTGCGTTGGTGGAGTAAACAGCGTCTGTGCGTCTTGCGTCTGTGGACTGCGTGACAGGCGTACGTAAACCATGTACCGGCGGCGCGCAGGCAAGTCAGTTACGCTAGAAACGTAGGGAGTTTGATTGACAGCCTGTCAGCTAACAGATAACGAGGCAGTGTCGTTATCTATTGGCAAATGTTTAGCCCCACCACGTCCAGAGTTGATGAATTTTTATTCTCTTTTTTTTGGTCATCGTAATTACAAGGCTACTGCACCTCTATAATGCTATCATTGACAATTTGAAACAAAAAAAATCCTCCATACAACCTTTAACAGATTCAGCTTTTTATGAAAAACCTTTTATAAAAAGTCCTTTTTTGGACCTTGTTTATCAGCAAACACATTGTGATTCTCCTTGAGACTTAACAAATGCTACGGATTTTCTAGTTCAACAGAAAACAAACAAAATCAACCAAATCCTTTTAAGATGTTTGGAGAAATTGTTGCTTTCAAATTAGCAGCAGTAACAGCCGACGGGTACCAATAGAGAACCACAGCGTGTACCTTCACATATTCTGCCCAGCTATCTTGGCAGACGAAACATACAATACTGTGTGTCCGACATGCTAAGAGATCTTGATTTAATTAGACATTGCATGCATAATTAATTTATTTTTTTAATACATCTGCATGCTTATTCTACATATTCTCTACAAACAGAATAAACACAAATCTTTTCTATTGCATTGTATGTTTTTCCCTACTTGTGTTTTGTTTCATTCACATGTGCTTGAGTATTTTTATTTTTATTATTATTATTATTAGTCTGTCTGCTTCTTCAAAGCTTAAAATACTTCTTTTTGAGTTCAGCAGATTGACAATTCCAGGGTTGAAAATATCCAAATGATTGTAGTGAAGGTGTATGAAGTTTAAAAATATATTGTAGCACTTGTAGCATTTTGCAACATAACATATACCAGAAAATAGTATGATATGAGACCTTTGATTATTTTAAACTAATCAAAAGTTGAGTTCTTTAGTCCTTAAGTTCAAATCTGACTGAAGGAACTGTAAGGTGATTGCTAAAGTTCATTTTAAAAGTAAACTTGAATTATCAGACATTTATTCAGTAATGAACAATGCAAGAGCCAGTCTTGGGTCATGTGGTCAGCTTTATTGTCATCTTAAAAGCATCGCTCTAGAACTCCTGCAAATTATAAAGACCTTAAGTATGCATCGGTCTCCTTTTAAATATATTATCTTGCTCATAAGTCATGCTCTAAGCGTCTAGGCTGGCTGGCTCACCCTTCACTAAATCTTACAGTACTTAACATTTGCCCACTTTCTACATCATTTGTATGTTAATAGAGGTTAAGTGAATTGTGATCAAATTATGGTTCTCTCTTGTTCACTCCTCCGACAAAATGTACCAAAGATTGTTCTCACTCCCACACGCACTTTCCCAGAGTCACTGCTAGCTCCTCACAGCTGATGATAAACTGATAATGAGAAATCGCCCTCATGCAAGTCCAACTTTTGCAGTTTATCGAGCGAGTAGGGCGTGTTGTTTTTGTTTTCTTCTGTTACCATGGTAATGACCTTTGCACCTCTACCCTCCCCCGCAGCTCCCAGCCAGGCCATCTCCAAAATCATGTGGAACACCTCCAACTCCAAGGTCATCCTCAAGTGGGACCAAGTTCATGCACTGGAGAATGAGTCGGAAGTTACAGGATACAAGGTTGGTAGGGATTTTATTGTATATTGAATAGTGACGTCGTCTGACTAAAATCTGTTGGATGGTGAAAGCTGTGAACTGCATAGACCATAATCCTTTGCTTCATGTTAGAGTGGTCAAAGTGTAAGCATAAAAAAAGGACAATAATATGATGAGAAAAATATATGTATGTATACTGCAGGGATGGCAAATCCGTGTATCACCAGCCAAACCAAAAATAAAAAAAAAAAAACTGCAATTTTCTCCATTATTTGTCTCCAAAACCAAAATGAAAAAAAATGGATATTAGTTCATTTTTTCAGTTTTCAATTTTGTGTTTAAATGAATAATGGAAAAAACGGATAATGGCCGTGATTTAAACTGCGATGCCTGTCTTTTGCGACGCATATGGACTGAACCAGGACTAAAACAGGACTAAAACAGGACTAAACCACGTCCAAACTGAGACCGGGACCAGACTAGGACCAGACCGGGACTGAGACCAGTAACAGACTGGTACCAGACCAGGACTGAGACCGAGACTGAGACCTTGACTCAGAAATTTAGACCTGGGTCAGTCCTGGTTCGGTCCTGGTTCAGACCTGGTTTAGTCCTGTTTTAGTCCTGTTTTAGTCCTGGTTCAGTCCTGGTTTAGTGCGTATGTGGCACAAAAGTTCAGCAACACAGTTTAAGTCAATGAAAGGGGAAACGCTATTATCTGTTTTTTTTTATTAATTATTATTATTATTATAATTATTATTATTATTATTATTATTATTATATTATTATTCATTTAAACACAAAACCAAAAACTGAAAAAAAAAATCGTTATCCATTTTTTTCATTTTGTTTTGGAGACAAATAATGAAGAAAATTGTTGTTTCTTTAATTATCTTATTTTTGGTTTTATTTTGAAAAACGAATGAACGAATGATACATGGATTATGGCACAATCAAATAAAATTTTTGTGTTACTATTACTGTGAGAAAAGATTTTATATTTACATTTATTTAGTTCATATGATTGTATTCTGACCTGAATAATCTCAAATACTGGTCAAACAAATACTCTTGGCATGCCTAAATTACATTAAGAAATGATTAGGGCATTTTAGAGAAGAAGTTTGCATTCCTACGACACTGTAAACCTATCATTTGGTTAATATCACACGGCACTGGTCAGGTTTTGTTGTTCCTGGTTAGATGTTCTATCCTTATGAATGGCTAAACTTTTTCAACGATAATTTAGATAGTTAAGTCCAAGTTTGGTGCAAGTAAAGTTTTTAAAAGTTTCTGAGGCAAGGAGTGACAGACTGTCTCTTGCTTCATTGGTCTACCCGACATCTGAAAGCTATGATTATAAGGCTATAAAAGACAGCTACAAGTCCCTTTCTGGGGCTGGCACGCTGCTGACAGCTGTGTGCAAAGGCAGTGGGTTTTTAGGCTGTCCGCACAACCAGCCTTCCCATTATATTGACTGGCATATTGTTAAAAAGTTGGAGGTATTACGACATTCGTGACCATATGAAGTCAAGGTGAAGGCATACAACAGGACAGTGCTGCTGGGTAATCGAGTTTTGTTGCTTTGCCTTGTACTTTCGAGTCAAAGAGAGTCATTTTTGGGAGCATTTATAGTGGACTTGTAGTTGCAGTCTGGAATAAGAAAACTATACAGGCTGTAAAGTTCCAGTTGAACCATTGGCCACCAACTAATGAAACTACTGCAGGCAAGATGAGCAACTGAGAGCCATGTGTTATAATAATAAGATACAATGATCAGTTGGTAGAGAGTTTGTCTGCTGATCCGAAGGTTGGCAGTTCTCGCCATAAACATCATTGGTTGAGCAGTCAGATCCACTGTTGGTGGTGTGATTTCAGCTCCAACAGGTGGATGCTGTTGTGTCCTTGGGCAAGACTCTTTACTCACCTTGCCCCCAGTGTCTATGTACACTAGTGTATGAACGGTGCATGCACGTGTGTGTGTGTATGAATAATTTCTTGATGTAAAAGAGCTGTGGCTTAGCCAGGCTGGTACCACCTAGTGCCTCTGCTCAATTTCAACTAGGTCAGGAATTGGAATACACCTCAGAAGTTGTAGAACCCGCACTGGCGAAGAGCTGTGAAGCCATGACGTCAAACTCAAGCACCTGTTTGGGTCCCTTTTGTGGTACAGCACAACAGTAAACAAAGTGGTCAAGTTGGATGTAGACAAAGTCATACATTCTGTGTTGGCAATGATTCCTAAGATTGAGGATTTAAAGCCGGAACAAAGAGTATGTTTGGCGCATCATATACATCACGACCAAACCACAGTGATTGGTTAAATAAAATTTCACTTTCCACGAAGTGAAACCGGCTGATGAAACAGGCTAGCTGTGAGGGTCTTGAAGGTGAAAAGCGCTATATAAAAATATGACTATTTACGCCTTGAAATGTTTTGCTTAAGGACACAACAACAGTTTGCATTGCTGAAAGGGAGATAAAAACTTTCAAAAGTTAATAAAAAGTGAACTACTGCCATCATCAGTATGTCCATATTTGGCTGGTGAATAAATGCAAACACAACTTCAATTATCTACAACTTTTCAGTGACGGGTTTCACAAAATCACAAGCTAATCAAATGGCAGTGTGTTCATATTGAAAACCTAAAGTGATTACATGTATAATTGCCAGTTTAATTATATTTATCTTTGATTAATGCCATGCCACGACTCACTTTTCATCAATATATTATCAGTTCTTTAGCAACTTATGTCAGTGGAATTTTATTAAGGTAGAAAAATAATGAAATAGTTTCACTAGTTTTATTTTCTTAAAGAAGATTTTCATTCATTAAAATAATCTAAATTCATAAGTCAAATTTGATATGTTGTTATAATTTAAATAAAAACATAAAGTCCCAGCAACCCCTTTTTGGTTCCCCACTCCACCAGTTTCGAACTCAGCTTTGAATTGGAAACATTGGCCTTATGTGTCCTATCTACGCCTGGTGATCTATAACAATCACGTCTGCGCACCACTGAATCCATCCTTGTTAGCGCTCCAGACAGTCCATTACATCTCAGGGATCCAGCTGAAGGGAGTATAAGTTAGGTTTCCCTGTCGATAAATCAACAAGTAAATAGACTCATAGTACATCTGAAATCTCCTTTTGTCTTGTTTGTCCCTCTGTGCTACCCATAGGTCATGTACAGTCAGGACAAGCACAGTAGTCCCAGTGTTGTGGAGACCAACAGCACGTCTTTGGAGCTGTCTCTGCCAGTGAACCAGGACTATGTGATCCAGATTAAACCCTTTAGTGAAGGAGGAGAAGGCAGCAGCAGCCGGCAGATCACCATACCCAAGATAGCAGGTACAGTATGTGGTTGTTTTCGAATTGTACAATATCGAGATGTCAAGTTCTCACATTTCCAGAGGGCAGGAAGCAGTACTGGTCATTGTCAGTTATTCAGGTCTTATATTGCACAAAATTGACTCATGTGAGCTTTAAGCCATGTTAGAATGTTGTTACCTCCTCAAAAACATACCTGGAGCTGTGTTTTGTTTCAATCACATGGTTGAGTAACCCTTTATTATTAGTCTGTCTACATCTACAGAGCTCAAGATGCACTCTTCCAACTTGTGATGTCATGAAGCAGTAGTTTTCAAGTTAACAGCTACCTTTTTCATTTTGGTTAGTAGATATAGAGCAATTCCAAACCTGAAATGAACCATATGCTTCTAGTGAAGGTGTGTGGAGTTTCAAAACACAGTGGAGCACTTCCTGTATGACCACAAGACCTCATAAGTTGGAGTGTTTTCTGTTTGAGAGAGGAACTGATGCATAAATATGTAGGGTTGGGTAAATTAAACACAACTTTAGGAATGTTTTTGATGCAGAAACAACATTATAACATGAACATTTTGTAATATAGGCTCTTTAAATGTGATTATGTCATTGTTAGGTGATGTACCCAACTTTGAGCAATGAGTGAAAAAGATATTTTACTTTGAATGCCTTAGTTCTGTCTCGGCTAGATCTTCACTGTCAAAGCCCTAGCTTCAGGAAGTAAATTTACCATTCTTTATTACAAGTTTAAAGGCTTACAAATGTCCATTTTCCATCCAAACATAAATGCTTCATTCATTTAATGGTCTATAAGTAGTTTTTGTGGTTGTTAGTTACTGCACAGCTGATGAGGCCAGCAAGTTTATAAACCTTTAATATTATCTTGGTTATTTTTTTTCTATGTCTGTGGGGAAAATGGATGGAAAATGTACTTGAGTTCCATTACACCATGATTACACAATGACAGGCAAACATCTGTGCTCCTGTTTGAACAAAAAATGTGTCCCTGGCATAAATATCACTTGACTTGCTTTTCAGTAAGAATATGGAATATCCTTTAATCTCTGAAATAAAAGTTAGGAACAGCACATAACTGAATAAATTAAACAAAGGTTGAACCTGATAACACATCCATTATTTATCATGTTAGTGACAAGGTTTACTATCCCTGTATATATATCTATCCACATCATAAAATCTGCATATTAACTAGCCATGCCTGAGCCCATTTCAGTAAAACATCAGTGTAGTGGGGGGTCATCTGAAACCCTGCCCTACAATAATGCACTATTTATAATGTGAATATCCAGTAACCAGTTCATCCAGAGTTCAATGGCTGTAACAAGCACATCTTACCACTTTAACAATAATAAGAATTACCTTTAAAGTTATTTTTAGTGAGGTCATTCATGCTATAACAGTGTGTCACAGATAAAAATGTGGCTGTTCCATTCTGTAAAATCAACTCTATAGTCATTTTGATGGCTTATTTTTAAGATGGACTATATAATATGATTGGTTTAATAAATGGCTATCAGCACAAGCCACTCATAGAAACTCTCTAAAAAAAGGACTTTAATTATTGCTGTATATTACTTATATTAACGTGTCTAAGAGTAATTGATTTTTAAGATATTTAATTCAGAATAGAAACCATGGGGACTGAACAGCCTTGTGTCTTCTTCAGTAATGTCAAATTTCTCAAATACATCTTTCCTTTGTCCTAGCAGTCTCATAATAATGCCATGTCTTTGTAGTAGCTGCCTCTTCTTGTATAGAATGCTAGTGCCATCTAGTGTTAGCTTTGTGCACTCACATAAGCATAAGCGCCATTATTTGTGCTATGTATATGTTCTTAAGTAAATTTGTCACATCATTATTGTACTTGGAATCATGTCCAGAGAAAGTGATTTTTTTTTCCACTGGAAATATGTGAAATAACATCAAAAGTACTTCTGGAAAATACACATTAATAATGGTAGTTTCTTTAGTGTTACTTGCTGTAGGTTAAAGGTGCACTGCGTAACTTTTGTGGTGGAAGGTCAGCTACCTGTTTATCTCCATGGAGATGTTATTGCTTTGCCTGGAATGTTTCATGGTATGACTTTCATTTATTCATTACGGGTGTTTCTGTTGCTCAAAAATAAAATAATTCCTTCTGTGTGAGCTAGAATCTTCTTGTCTCCCTCACGATTGGTTTAATCTGAACTGAGAAATGTTTTAGACAAAGCCATAACTTCTCCATGGAAACAAGCAAGCAAGCGCAAACCCTCCACTAGAAACATTACGCAGTGCAGCTTTAAGTATATATATGGGTCCTTGAATGGTAACTGGAAAGTGAAAGTGATAGTAGTAGTCTGTGTAGTTGTGCATGTGCAATAGTTAGTGAAGGAATAGTTGGCGTAACATATCAAGTAACAATTAGGTCAGTGAATTTTAATGTTAAGGAGAAAGTATTTTTCATCCTGCATGTGTTTGAATGGTTTGTGTTTTCCATTGCAGGCTCAGTTGCCATGGGCACAGCTCCTCAGTCCTTGGTGTGTCCTTTGCTCAATGTGGCTCTGCTCCTCACAGTCCAGAGCATCTTATGACAAACCTGATCCAGGGACCACTCGGCCGCTGATGAAGAGGAGGCTTCACCTGTCCCCTCCTCCTCCTCTTCCTCTCCTCTCTGTAAAGACGTGATGTCCCTTTCTGAAGGAGTCACCAAAAGGGAACAGCTCTTTCACAAGTACAAGCTTTTATGAATCTGAATGGACCCAGTCACTCCAGGATGGCCTCTTTGAACACTCGCTTTTGGATATTTGTACCTCGGAGGCACGCAGATGTGTGCTGCACAATTGGTTCTGTATATGTTTGAATCTGTCAAAGGAAAAGTGCCAGTCGCATCAAAGGAAATGTATGTTCTTTTTGACTTTTTATACAAAGAATCTCCAAGAGACGAAGAGAGGGTCCAACACTTAGCTCATTCAAAGTTGAGTCAGACTTCAATGGGGAAAAAGTTGTTTGTAATTTCAATGGAAATCTTTCTTTCTGAGCCCCGACAGAGCTACGCCTTTCGCTTTAAGACCAACTGGACTTTTGAGATTTCTATCTTTGCCTGGATTTGATCACGCTTTTACCATGTGACATTGAAAACCTCAGCGTTGCCATGAACTTGACTGGTTACCAAAGGTGTTATACCTGTTGTATCATTGTGAGCAAATGCAATGTGTAGACCCCAAAATGGCTTCCATCGTAAAACAGCTCATTTGTTTTGATCACTCAGTGTCTTGCCTTGTTTTTCTCCTCCTCCCATTGACGTCCATGACAGAGATCAGTAGGCGTACACTGTATGTATGAATCCTCAGGTCCCAATCAGCCTTAAGTCTTAAAATTCTGGTCCATTTAGGTTTTCTCCTGTCATCATTGGCTTATATTTTCATTTATAAAATTTTTTTATTTTTTTCACACTTTTGATCATTTCAGCTCAAATAAACATGCCTTCCCCTCTGTTTGTCATTGTAAGCATTGTAAAACAGTGGCAGTGACTTTTCTAACATAGCCTATTATTACTGAGTAAGAAAGATATTTTCCTGTCTCCTGCTGTGAGAATGGTCTGTGTACGTACCTACGTGGCTTAGGGCGAATGAGTTGACCTGCTTTTAATAAACATATCGCCATGTTCCTCATTTCTTCAGCTGTCTGTGTCAGTTATACATTTAGTTAGTTTGCCTGGGCTCAAGAATACACACGTCTTTAATACTACACAAAGCCATTCAGGTACACGCATAGTATGTCTATATCAAAACAACTGGAAAAAAGAAAGGAAAAAAAAATATCACAAAGGATTTTCAGCAGTAAGTGAACTTGATTTTGTATGAAAATAATAGGTGGCCTCTTTTGTTTCACACGCATCACTGAAAAAAGCAAATCTGATTGGACTGAATGTTTGGTTCTGACATGACAAAGAGCATGGGACTGATATCTCTTTGTGTAATAAATTAAAACTATTAAAACAGAGAGAAAATATTTTATGCAACATGTACTGAAACCATCAAGAGATACTTGTAGGAAATCCTTTCTTTTGTTTAGACTTCCCTTCACTATTTATTAAACTTTTATTACTTTAGGATAATATTCTCATACAGGTTTGCTTAATAATGCAAAAGGACAAAAAAAAAAAAAGCATGGTATTTAATTTTTCATTTGATTTATTCATTTTCAAAGAATGCAAGTACACTGTACAGAAAGGACACAGCACCAAGCAGATGGACAGCAGCAGAGAGATAGAGAAGAGCGAAAGGGAGAGGGAGAGCAAGGGATGACGAGGCTTTGTACAGGGAGGAAGAGGAGTGGGCTACGCTTAGGGGTCACTCTGAGGTCATCCAATCAGACCACAGCAAGTGTCTTTAATGTGCAGGCCGGGGTTTGAAGTCGTTGCCTGTGTGTAAAATGTATTCCTTATAAAGAGAAGAAGGATCTGATGGTGAAGGTGTTGATTAAATCCTTTGTTGATGAAGCTGGATGTGGAGCAAAGCGTTGTATGGGAAACTGACGCCCTCTAGTGTACAACAAGCTCATTGCCATTTATTTACTAGTTTACAGCTTCACAATCCACCACCAAATATACATACAAGCTTTTTCAGCAAGATTATTTTTCTACTCCAGTTTCAAATTTATGACACAATTACACCACACAGAAGTCGGAAAATATCCAAAATGTCTGCCACTGGTGGAAAATTTGACATGACAAATCCGTGTATTGTCATGTCAAATTTCCTCGCGTGACTTTGTGGTAAATTGAGTAATCAAAAGCAACCATTTTTATACAAAGTTATCAGAAACATTTCATACAAAATCAGGATTTGTACAGTTTATTTGCTACTTCAGTTGGCACTACACATCTATGGTTCGGAAATAACATTCAGCAACCAGGGCACACAAACAGACGCTACTGTAGGTATCATTGAAAACACTACACTGTGAAATTTGTTCTGGAAATAAAATACTTTTACTCAGCGGGGTTTAAAAGATGCAGTTAAGCCATTCACAACTGGTGGATTGTAAAACGTGAAAGCTTTAGTCATTTATCCTTTTATGAGATATTGATGTTTAGTTAAAAGTGCACGATGTGTTGGAGGGTCTGTCACCTTCTTGTAATTGTTCTGCCTGGAATGTTCTACAGTATGGCATTAAAGATACTTATCTCCATGGAGACAAAGAGGGTACACCACCAGCCCAAGTTAAAAGTCTGTCCTGCGGAGAGGTGACCCCACTCCCAATAAGAATAGCTATTTTACAATGTATATTTGGGCTATAAACACACTGAACTTAATAAATACAAGAGACCTATGTGTAATGCCAGACTGTGTAACATTCTAGACAAAGTAATAACATCATGAGAGACGGATAAGTCACATAGTGCACCTTTAAGATGGGAAGGAAAATACTATCTACTTGTTCCCAGTGAATGAATCCACACCAGTGTAGATCAGTGAGTTCATTTGAGGACAAAACCAAGTCATTACCAGAAAATACAGCAGATTTAAAAATACAAAGAATACACTAAGGGGCAGCTTTAATTGGCTTGTTTGCGATTCTTCTTCTTCTCTCAAGAGACTTTCTTGTCAGGAAACATGTTTTGTTGAATAATTTAAGGTCTGTTTTATTCATACCACAAAAATCATACTAATCCATCTTCTGACCAGAATGGAATATATCAAATACTCAAGGAGATTATCATGCAAATACTTTTACTTCAAATACTTTTCAGAGGTTTAGACATGTCCAATAGATCAGCTATGATATGTTAATTTATCTATACAATGAAGGGGCTAGATCTGGTCTCTTAATAATAATAAATAATATTTGATTTCTTCGGTCACCAAGCATACTCTTAAGACACAACACAACAGCAACTCTCACTTCACATGATGTTGCATAAAGCGGCCACCACCCACTCATCAGAGATATAATTTCTTTGCCAGGAATGTTTCACAGTATGTCACTTAAATTATTTATTTCCTTTGGGACAAATATGTGACACCACCAGGTCAATCTACAGGCTAATGGAAAAGTGATTCTGCTCCCAGTTAAAATGCATGTTTTTCTTTATAACTTAACACTTAAAACACCTGTAACTAAATAAAAGTTAGATAAGTTTAATGTCATACTGTAGAACATTTCGGCATTTTAATAACACACTGATGTGCTAGATTTCCCCACAAAAGTTACATATTGTATCTTTAAGACATTAAAGAAAACTGAATTTGTATTCATCAGACCACCATTGTTTACCCATAATCACTTCAGCATACCAAAGTCTTTGTAATGGAGACTAGTTTGTAATTAAAAACTAGATGCAAAAAGCAGCACTACTCTTCAAAATATACTGGATAGGGACATTTTTGTTCTACTTCCTGTAATATTTCTAAGTGTATAAGTTGTGCACAATATGCTAACAGTGTTAGTGTTAAAAAGTGCACACATTATCAAATGAAACTGTGATGATGAAACACATTTTCAGTGGATACAGATGATTCGGTTGGATGACAGCAACTTATCAATGTCTGTAAAGAACTGACTCCCTCTTGGGCTGTAACGCTTGAAAAAACAAAGTGTACAGAAGATACGTGTGGTTGGTTGGTGAGGCCGCTGGCTGGAGTTCAGACAGTGGGTGGTAGGTCCAGGTGGGGCACTGACATGTATGGGCCATAGGGGGGCACTCTAGTCTTGAGGAATCACAACTGAAGGAAAAAGAGAGCATACAGTTAACCTTTAAATGAATGGCCCTCTACTAGAAAAGTTACATAGTGAAGCTTTAAGTATGTAATATTTAATGAATGTTGAGAGATATTTATAAAATGTGTTATGATCAAAAACATATTTGAATAGCCCTTGGCACAAAACATGCCTTTGAAAGACAAGACCTTAATGCAAAATGTGCTCGTGTATACTTAAAATGGCTACTAGTTGCATGTATGTAGACTATATTGAGTATTTGAAATGGTCTGCACCTCAGATGCCCCGTGTCGATCTTCAGTGGATGACTCGGTTTCCCTGACAACCACAGCCTTCGTCACCTGCATGTCCGGATGCTGCTGCCTGGCCTCCTGGATCGCAATGGCCAGGGCCTAAAGGTGAGCAAACAAAAGTCTCTTAAACATGTTAAAATTGCAGGTTTTATGTCCCTGAATTCCTTTTAGCCCATTAAAGTAATAATAATTGCAGAAGTGAATATTAGTTTTCAAAAAACATAATTGTGCTCCTACTTGAGTAATATTTTTATAGTGTAACAGCACTCTTGAGTCTTGTTGTTTCTCTTCCCACTGTGAGTGTAAGTCTAAAAGGTACAAAAGTGCTATGTTGACAGTATTAAATGATTTGAATATTGGTGTTTCTTGCATCTCTCCTTCAGATATGACCTATACCAGATTTTATGCATAATATTTTGTCCTACCAATTACTTCACTTTTTTTTAAATTACTCAGATGTTACATACAGAGAGTTTTACAGTTACTGTTACTTACTTACTTCCCCAAATATTTTTTGCTTGAGTGATATGTTGGACCTCTCAAGTAATATTATTTTGAAGTTGTGGTAAAATTTTTGGCTACTCTAGTTTGCTTTTTTATGTTTTCGGTGATGTAAAATTTAAGTTTTATCAGTTATTATCGGTAATATCAAAGACCCCACACTGAGCAAAGTTAATTTATTCATGACAAAAACACTAAGATCCACTAATGTGGTTCGACCCACAACAGAGAGCGTTAATTAGCGCCTGCGGCTACATCCAAGAGGAGTAACAAGATTCTGCAACTCTTTTTTTGTAGCCTAGGAATTTAGAATCCTATTAGATTTTAATGGTGTGTTGTTTTTACAAATGTTTGCTTGTATAAATGAAACTACTGTTCATGACTCTACGCTCCATGTGGTCTTGTGCACTCAAGCTTTGTCCATTTTAAAGAAACATGTATTATGACGACATGAAAATGATAAAAAGTCACTGTATTTTATATTGAGCTTATTGTAATACTACCAAAACTACTACTAGCACAGATTTTGGTGTGTGTGTGTTTATTTAATTATGTTATATTATATCCCCATTAGATATTTGTTGTTTAATGACTGCTCAGAAAGTACAGCACCTATACTGGATTTTGTGAAAAAATATGCAGTTAATACTTTGAATTCCTTGTTTCTATATTTGGTTGACAAGGCCGGACTTTGAGTAATGGTACAAAAATAGATTCCTCCAAATATAATCTCCTGTGTTTTGTTTTCATCTGACCTGCTCCTGGTCTACGTCATCGTCTCCTGTGATGATGATCCTCTTTTCGATCCTGGTCTCGGAGTACCCTCCCTTCACCGTCTGAAAACATGATGAAAATGGATATAACCCATTTATCTGTCTCTGTAAAAGCTGGGCTGATTGAACTTAATTACATATTAATGACATGCTTAGCAAATTCAATTAGCGCTGCATTACTTTGGTGACATGAGTGGTGGCTGAGGTAACATTTTCAGTCATGAGGATGGGCGACCCGGCACTCTCTCTGCCAAAAGTGCTCATATGAACCTGGAAAATGAAGAAAAATATTCATGTCATCTTTAATAAGTGAGGCTAGCAGAACAAAGGGCGAGGCTGTTCAGTAAAAGTATGCCTTATGCCTCATCAGCTACAAAAGTAATCATGTGCAATTATGTTAATCGTGATCAGTACAATACACGGAAGTCACTTTAACTGCTCTTTACTTTATTCTGTCCATATGCTGGACTGTATAAACATAGTCATAGCCACATGTGCAATCATTTCGTAGTTATTTTTACTGCTGGCAGCTAGTGTTATATTTGATTATCCTTACACTTTTTTTTTAAATCATATATCAACTCTATTCAAAACATGTATCATACCCATTTGATTCATTTTATGTTTGTTTATTCAAGGGACAGTCCAGAATTTTGGACATAGGACCTCATTTCCTTGTTAGCCTGAGTGCTGGAGACGTGTGGAGACACTTTTTAAAATATTCCATCCAGTCCTTGTATTTGCAGAGGTCACTGGTGCTAGGCTAGTGCATGTCAATGGCCATAGTTATCCTGCCATTAAAACAGTCTTACCCACTCCACAAAACACCCGAGGCAAAACAATTATTATGCCAGACTGTAATAATTGTTTTGTGAATGTCTGTGTTGATAATTTTAGAAGTAAAAATAACCTTGCATTTGAAAGATTTGTCTGAGCAGCAGCAGCAGCGAGTTGTACTTCCTGATAGAAAGCTTGGCAGCGGCGGACTGATATCACCTAGCACCCATTCCGCTGCTGCTGAGAAAATAGTCCCTCAACATGTGACAATTCATGAGATGCAAGATTAGTTTTATTTCAAACATTATTCTATCAACACAGACAGTCACATTGATAGTCTGGTGTAATAACAGATTTGCTTTGGGTGTTTTGTGGAGTAGGTAAGACTGTTTTTAGTGGCAGGCTAACTGTGGCCATTGACATGCACTAGCCTAGTACCAGTGACCTCTGCAAATACAAGGACGGGTGGAATATTTAAAAAAGTGTCTCCACACGTCTCCAACACTCTGGCTAACTAAGAAATGAGGTCCTATATCCAAAACTCCACACTGTCCCTTTAAAAGTCATATATTATTAAAGGTCCTTGTGAGCTCTAAGCAATGTTTGAATGTTGTTGCTTCAACAAAAACATACCTGGAGTTGTGTTTTGTTTTAATTTATTAGTCTGTCTACAGGTCCAAAGCTCAAAATCCTCTGTTTCACCTTGTGATATTATGAAGTGGTTGTTTTCATGTTAACAGCTATCTTTTAACTTTTGTTCAGTAGAGATGGGCAGTTCCAGGGCTGAAATATTTCATATGATTCTAGCGAAGGTGTGCAGAGTTTAAACTCAGTGGAGCACTTCCTGTATTACCACATGATATCACAAGGTGGAACAAAGTGTTTTGGGAATAACTCAGCCTAAATATGCATAACATGTGTGAATGAAACAAAACACAACTCCAGGTATGTTTGTGATGAGGAAAAAACATTAGAACAGAGATCAGAAAATAGTGTCATATAGGCCCTTTAATAGCACCTAATCTTATTTTTTGATTGCACATTTCTTTTCTCCTGATGCTCTTGAACTTTTTGTTGAATTTCCCCATAGTGGGACAGATTACGTTTCTTTTATCTCATCTTAAGTGGGAATGTGGAAATGTAGAATAAGAAACTCACTGGAGAAACACTTTGTCTTGTTGAGTAGGGCGCATCACTGAGACTGCTAAGACCATGATCCTAAAATGTAAAAGAGGGAGATTAATTGGAGTAGTTTGAAGCACTTGACTAAATGTATTTTATTACTCTATTAATATAAGATGAACAGATGCATAGTTAAACCCAAGGTCACTCAATTACATTACATTATCTTCTGTCTTGTACCTGGTCAGTGAACTCTACGATGGTGGTGGTGACCTCTGCTCCGTTGGGCTGGGTCTCTGTGCGTACATCTGTCTTCCTGGGTGCTGGAGTAGGTGTCACATCACTGGCTTCTCTGCTCAGAGGTGTCACAGCCCCCACCCTACTGCTCTCTCTGTCCACAGATGACGAAACAGGCACCGAACGCTTTGGCTTTTTGGGAACCACAGGCTGAAATGTAAGAAATGCACAATTTTACACTGTATATTTGCTGTGACTATTCTTTTATTAGAATTTCCAAGTAGCTCTGTCTCGACCTTTGGAAACTTTTTTCATGTATTTGGAATCATTAAAAGTCCTCCTAATGTCATCTATGGAAGGAGAAAATAAGTAGACAAGAAAAACAAGTGTAAATACAAAAAAAAAAAAAAAAAGATTTCAAAATTCCCCTTTGATTTGACAGATCCAAAAAGCTGCTCTTAGCTTCAAATCTTTTTTTAAGCTGATGCCCTTCCTGATATAACCCTCACTTATTTATTGATTTGGCCTTGTTAGCCAAATGACTTACAGATTTGTTAATTAGCCTTGTTTGATATGTCTGCAAATTGTATGCACAATTATTTATAGGCTTGCTGTGGGTGGCATCTCAAAATAGCACAAATACCAGCTTCAAAGAGGACAAAGAAATGTCTGTAATGCTCAGAACGTCTTACAGTGTGAGAGAGAAGGAGGCTTTGTGAAAACAAGTCAGGGTTTAGTTTATTTAAGGTGTTTAAATTTACCTTTACTTACCTTTACCTTTAAGTATAGCTTCAAAACTATTGAACATTATTCAATTGGCCTATTTCTGGTGATTACATTAGAATAATCACATGATAAACACCCTACCTTACCTTATCCACAAATGCAGCAGTTTTGAGGATGCTCTTTCGCAATTGAGCCATCATTATGTAGTGTTACTATTTTCCTTAACACATCTCCACTACTCCACCCCTATTTCCATTGTAAATGTCTCTGCCTGACAGGGTGTTAGCAACAAGGTCTAAACATTCCATCTCCACACTCCAACCCTGTGCTTTTGCATGGTTTGTTTTGAAAAGTTTCTCCTGGTGAAAAAACAAAATCAATTCAGGCAGAAACTTGCCTGTTTGTTGACCTTTCCACTCTGAGCTCAGAGCACATGCTGCCTACCTGTCTGATGACCTCTGGTCCCTCAGTCCTCCGGGGCACATCTGACCGCACCTCCTCCGCCTGCACTGGCCTGGTGGGGGGACTGCTGCTGACTTTGGGCAGAGGGGCGGCCACTAGAGGGGGCAGTGGTTCTGGGGGGAGCTGGTGCAGGAGGTCAATGCCCAGACACAGGCCCCGGTCTGGGGACAGGTCTCTCTCTCCAAGCTCGGACATGCCTCTGGAGAACTCCTCCATGCCACTGTGCAGGTCTGTGAGCACAGTGAAGTCCACCTCAGCCTCCAGACTAGATGTGGAGCTCACCGTTATACTGGAGCACTTTCTCTCAATGCCCAGGTGAGTCTCCTTAAGGTACAGGCTCTCATGGTCCTGGTCATCCTCGGAGACAGAGCCCAGGCGCCGCTCCCACGGCTCCCTCTGTCACAGTGCATTGCATTTAAAAAGAGCAAGAGATGGGTCTGAATAACAGGTATGCTTTAAGTACAAAGTTTTATATAATGCCTGAGGATTTTGCTTTCCAGACACATATTCTAAAGTGGAAAAAGTACTTACGGATGCTTCATTAGGAGGCTCTTCATGGATGGCTGGAGTGGGAGGAGTCTCCTAAAAAACAATAAACAAAAACATCTCCTGTAACAGCAGTGTTACCACTGTCACTACAATGAGCCTCACGGAGTCAAAGTACTGACATGAAATATGGTACGAACAACTATTTAGTGAGCCACTATGATTATCATGTCCAATGCTGTTAGGCTCACTGTTTGTATAATGCGTCAGAGCATTTTGGATCAGACAATGAGTTCATTTGTAAATGGCTAAAGTTGAAAAAGCACCTTACCAGCTCTACATGCACTGTCTCTAAACACCACTCTAACATGGGTGCCATGGTAATGCCATAGTAATGCCATAGTAATGCCATAGTAATGCCATAGTAATGCCATAGTAATGCCGTGCTGTGGGACCTCTGAGTGCGCGTCAGGAATGAGGGATTCATATCCTCAGTGCTGATATGAATGCCTGAGCCCTGGGACGATTGGCAGCTCTGCAGCTCTGATTACATCGTATTCACTTCCTCTTTGTCACTTTCTGCTACAGAGATGCCAAGGCAGAACATTTGGCTCAAATGCCCTTCTCAGCCATTTACAGGAACGCCACAGATATTATGTAAAACAGATTTCAAAGAAAAGCAAAGGTGAACAAAATGTCTTGCGCTCCTTGCAACAGCAGCCACCCTTTTTCTGTGAGGATGTTGGAAGGAGAGATACTTAAGGTGAATTACAGGGACAGTTGAAGCTTAAGCAATGGCAAGTTTGCTTAAAGGCCCACGGCTCTGAAATGGCCAAGCAAATGTCAAGCTTTGCCAAATAGCTCAAAGGAAAAGGCACTTAGCTTCCTGGTCATGGGCGAGAGCTAAGTCGGGCAATGATGCGATGCCAGCAGACGTGAATAGTGCTTTGTCATTCACAGTCACATGAGGGCTGATGTATGAGGGGTCTTGAGTTGAACATGAGAAAAACTAGTCTGGGCCGAGGCTCATGCAATGCTCCACTGTCCCCTGACTGACAGACAGCTTTAGGAGCAGATGGTTTACCGCTTGCTTCCTGCTGCTTGTCTCCTGGCTGGACGTCCTGTGGTGGATGTGGCTGGTGTCCACATGGCTGGGACGATCGCGGGACCATTGGGTTTTCAGTGGAAGACTTCGAGGAGGGGCTGAGGGGACCTTGAATTCTGTGTTGTTTTGAATATGCTCTTCCTGTCTAGTATTCCCTGTTGGTCCAAAATCACTATGCTGTTTTTGGTCTAGCAAATCATTTCTGCATTGTGTTGCTGCTGCTCCACTCTGGTCCCTAATGACTGGTGGGTTTTCTTTTATAATATTTTGAGTTGCAGCATTATCTGATAGCATCCTTGCTGTCTCACTGGATGTATCTTGGATTTTTTCAGACCAAGTAGTTTGAAAGCTTGTAGTCACTTTATTGTCCTTATTCAAAGATTTCTTGGATCTTTGCGGTTTTAAAGGAACAACTCTAGTAACTTCTGAATGCACATTCTCAGTCATGGCGCCCTCTTGAGGTCTCTTGGAAGCATCACAAGGTTTGCTGTCACTCGTTTTGCTACCATTGTCCTTTGGGTAAGATTCAAAACTGTGACAGTGCGCAGCATATCCGTTTTCATGAATGGCATGTGTGGTGAATCCTTTGTAATGTCCATTAGTCATGGAGGACGGAGAGACGTCCTGGTATGGGGATACAGCTTTCCTCTGTCTGGTTGCATCCCAAGGCATTTGACCATTGTTCATGTGAGAGTCAGTCCATGTTTCTCTACTCGAAGATGTCCTACAAGAGTCCACTGTTCCATCGTAAGCCTGGTTGTCAATCATTTTGGCATCACCCATCGCCTATGTTGACAAAATTGACAGTTGGATTAGCCTATTTGTACTAGCAATTAAAAAAGCCATTTGCAAAAAAAATATATAAAAAGGTAAGTAAGGTAAAACTTCATATATATTTTTTTAAAAGAACATACAAATTTTGTTTGTTTTGCAAAACGCATAACCTCACATTATTTACTATAACATGTGACACTGGTTAATAATTCCAAATCCCTCCTATGTATAGATTTCTTTATGAATTAATTCATAGCATTTCTCACTTTTAAGAATTATCAAACTGTAAGTAAGTCAGTATGTTTAAACAATATGGGGTCAAATGCCTTTTTTATTTGTAAAAACTTTTATCAGTCATTTTGTATCCAGCTTTGAAACGGTTAGAATTTTTTGTCTTTCTCTTTGTGTTTGTAAAGAAAATCTTTTCCAACACTTTCTAAAGTGTACTTGTGAATGTAGGACAAGTAGAACATAAAGAATGTAAACGACAGGAGCTAATTGTAACATATTGTGTGGTTACAGCTGAGTGAAGCACAGGAGACAGATCTTACGGGTTTTCGTTCAGGCGTTCCTCCAGGGGATGTGGAGGAGGTGGAAGAGGGGACGCGCTTCTTGCTGTTGGGCTGTCTCAGAGCTCTCTTCAGCTCGTTGATGCTCGCCTGGTGCTTCTGAAGGACATCCTCAGGTTTATCCAAAAACTGCTGCTCAGAAAAGAGGAGGCCATATTAATGTATGGAAGTGTTTCTTATATAAGGTTGTAATCATGCTAATATTTTAAAATGAAAAACAAAAAACAATACAGACACAAGGTAAATAAGTACGACAAAAACTACAATACATTATTCACCTTAATCCACCCCATCCACTTTTACTTCTGTCGGCTACCAACAATTTGCCTGGACAGCCAAAGTTATTTTATGTTGTATCACAAAATGTTACTGTAATGTACTTGTATCACATAACAACGTACGGAATACATGAAGGAAGTCAGTTGGTTTAGTAGATAGTAACTAATACACAGTTCCCTTGTGATTCACATTTTTGGTTAAGCAGAAATGAAATTAATTTCAACTGAGCATTAAAGAAAATAATAATAATAAAGTAGGTTGATATTTGTGAAATGTTCAGTGTTCATGTGTACCAACAACTATACAGTACTTCCTTTCTCTGGGTGGCTTCAAAACAGGTTACAACTTTAATGCTGTAGAGATCTGGAGCCCCTTTCAAAATCATACAACCTGAACTCCCCAAATAAAGTCATTATAGTAATTCTATAAAAACTACTGTAACTTTAATTTATCAGGTCACAATCATAGGGACACCTTTTGAAGAACACAGACTACATCTAACAGTAAATTATAGCATAAACATAAACATAGTATATTACAGAATATAAAAACAGACAAAAAAATCAGGGAACAAAAACCTTCCACAAACCATTAAACTGAACAATCAATGTAAAAAAAAAAATAAATAAATAAATAAATAAAGCAGGTGTTACTGACGGTTGCCACCAGCACATGCCAAAAAGAGAGAGCACGAGCAGTACCTCCTGTTTGGGCCGAGGTGCCACCACCACGTCCTGCTCCGACACATGTCATGTGAGAGGCGGGGTCATGTGATACAGGTGAGGAGGGGACCAGGGCGGGACAGGTTAGGGGCGGGGCCAGGGCAGATGGGATGAGGTTTGGACAGAGCAGGAGGTGGAGGGGTGGACAGACGGACGGAGCGTGCAGAGACAGAGAGGTGATAACAGCAGGTGAGTCAAAGGCAGGCAGCCACACAGACACTGAGAGCACTCAGTCACAGCTTGGACTTAACACATTGTAATGAGGACAGGACCAGCCATTTTTGAGACGCAAAAGGAGGATGCAGTCACAGACTGACTGGACACGGTATTTGGAGAGTGGGGATTGTTCTATTCTTCTTATTACAAGCATCAGCTGATGCTGTCGTGTCTGTAATTTTACCTTTTATACATTATATCTGATTCTAGGTAGTTTGGTTTTAAAATCCCAAATCTATTGCTAATTTAGTTTCAACTGTAGTGTTTCTGAAGAGGAACAACTAAGTTGTAGACTTAACTTATTACACCCAAAAGAGTCTTTTGCTTGGAGATAGAGCTCACTTGACTCTCATTGCTGTCAATACTAAATAGTCTAATGGTGTTGTTTGGATGGAAATATAAGAAGTTACCCCAGAGCAAAACTGAGTTAAGATTGATTTTCCTGACAGAAAACCCTCGCCAAGTGGGAGATTTCCATGCTGACTACAGAGTTGACACTTCCACTTACGAGACAGGCATTTAACAAGGATTAATAGGAGACATTTCGTTTAAGAAGTGGCATATTGCATGTTGAGAGCACTTATTGCTGAGCTGTGGCTGTTATCAGATCCACACATGCGTCCAGAGATTTGTTTATTCACTGAATAATGAGCAATGCTTAAGGCCATCTGTTAATCCCATCAATCCCATGCATTTCCATAGGGACATGTGTTAACAGTTAGCATAGAGAGACAGACACTGTACTCTGTGTACTATGTACTATGTGAATGGGCAGACAGTATATAAGACAAAGGTAAATGCCTGCGAAGTGAATCTAAGATGAATCCCCAGCCGGACACACTAAAGTCGGAATATATTAAATATTTCATGTCCGCTGAACGAGCATGCTCTTTCCATGGATTACACCCATCCAGGAAATCCCAATGTGGAAGAACCAACATTCCCCCCGGACATGAAAACAAGACGACGCACAGTTCATGACCCAAAACAAGCAAAACCACACAGACACACACATACACACACACAAACCCTGCGGCCAAAATACCTCGGGCTTTGAGTCTAGTGGGGAGCCTGCCTCCTCTCGCTGCAGGACGTCACAGAGCGGAGCAAAATAGAGCAGATTTGAGCAGGAGAGGTAGAGAAAGCCAAAGACTGTTAGCAAGGAGAGGCTGGGGACAGTTAGCTTTTAGGCAGGATTTGAGAGGATTATAAGGGAAGGGTAAATAGCTATGTTAAGATTTAAAGGTCACCTATTATATGTCTGATCTTTTCATAAAACGGGTCTACAAAGTCCAGAGGATAACGCTAAGATCTTCTGGGGGGTTTGTCCTTTAGCTATGGCAAGATCTACTATTTACTGAAATATCTATTTGAAGTTATGAAAGAGGCCCTACACTGTATATTACAGGAGCTCACATGAAGCACACATGAAGCCAACAGGAAAAAACAATGAGCTTATAGGTAATAAAGCTTGTTATCTAATTTAAACTTCCCTGTAATATAAAAAGAAATAACTGTACCTGGCCAATTATTAGAGAAAAGTATTTAAGTGTAAACCATAATCAATCATAATAAGTTTTTGTACATGCTAGGTGACCTTTAAATAAATGCTAGTATTAGTAGCAGCTGTTAGTTGAAAACTGATATAATTATGTAAAAATAACTTAATAAAGCTTCATAATTACACTGATATAGAAAATCTAAAAACAGTAGTAGTTGTGTCTTGTATATCTCATACCTTGACTTCGATGGTTTTGATGGGCGGTGGAGAGACCTCAGAGTCCCGGCTTGACCTGTACCTAGGGTCTGGACCCTGGTCTAACTCATGGTCTGTAAAGTCTCCTTGGTCCTGATCTTCGTAGTGGTACTGGTCATGATCCAGGTCCAGACTTCCCTCTTGGTCCAGATCTTCTCTAGACATGAACTGTGTGCGGTCACTGGAGCTCCTCTGAGACAGCTGGTCCATGCTGTCCCCAAGAGCTGAGGCTACACAGACAGAAGACGTATGATTGGTTATTAATATGTATGGAATAAAAATGTATGCTGCTGTGGTAGAGGAAAACTGTCAGCATGTTAGCACATTACTGTGACTTACTATGTTCTGTACCTCAACACATTTATAGGTATACCCTTCTAGACAACATCAAATGAATAGATGTCAGTAACAGAGAATAAGGTTTCATCATACATTATAATGTCCAGTAATGTCTGCATAAAACAGCTAATACGTTTAAAGGTCTTATATTATAAAAAAATGACTCTTGTGAGCTTTTAGCCATGTTAGACTGTTTTTACCTCATCAAAAGCATATCTGGAGCTGTGTTCTGTTTTGTTCACACATTTTTGAGCAACTCTTTATTAGTCTATCTGCATCTTCAAAGCACAAAATGCTCTGTTCCATCTTGTAATGTCATGAAGCTGTAGTTTTGAAGTTAATCTTTTACATTTAGATCAGTAGAGATTGGAAATTCCAGTGCTGAAATCATCCAAATGATTCTAGTGAAGGTGTATGGAGTTTAAAAATTGTAGGGTACTTCCTTTATTACCACATAACATCACTAAGTGGAACAGAATGTTTTCTGACTGAGAGAAGAACTAAATAAATATGAACAGTTTGTGTGTGAATGAAACAAAACAAAACTCCAGGTATGTTTTTGATGTGGAAACAGGATCAGAACATTTCTAAATTATGGTAATCAAGAAAACATTTGTTGTAATGGTAAAACATTGGTTTGAAAACATACATAAATATTCATATGTGCTACATTCAGCAGAATTTTGGCTTAGATTTGACCAATTTTCCAGTTCAGTTCAGTTTTTTTTTTTACTGACTGGATTAGCAATACCTTTATGCTTTAGAAATCACAAACATAATTTTCACACCTCCCTGTGGTGCTTCAATTAATGCTTCTTATTCTCACTTATTGTGTTTTGTACAATACATAGAGTTTCGTCCCTTTCTTTTGAGCATTTAAATCCAGATTAACATTTGCATATACATATTGTTTTGTAAACGTATTGTTTGTCATTCTTTGTTGTTTGTGTGATCCTCACCTCCATCCAGGCTCCTGGGCAGCATGTATCTCTTGCTGATAGAGCGTTCGAAGAGGGGGGCGGGTCTGTCGATGAGAGCACTGGCCTGTCTGGTCTGAGCCTGAGTTCGCCCACTGTACCGAAACTTTGAGCCAATCACGAGGAAGCCCTTAGGAGGTGGCTCTGGAGACACCAATCTGTGGACAAATGAGGTTACTGTATGTGAATTTACTAAAAATTACACAAAATGCTACAACTATATAAATATATGTCAATGTATACGTAACTATATGTTAACTGATAGTTTGTTGGTTTGCATGACTTTCAAAATGTGTTCTGCAATAGTTTGGAATAAAGTTGAAATAAGTTAAGATATTTGAGGCTCAGCATATTTACCTTGATGATCCAAGGATCAAATAAAAGAACAGCGTATCCTTGAAAGTTAGAGGAAAGCTTTGTCTGCACCACCTGCTTCCTTGATATTTTGCTATAAACCAAAGAACACCCACAACATTGACAGTTCTTGACAAGTTGAGAATTAATGTTACTTGACTGGTCACGGTAGCTGTCAATCATGGGACGTCCCTGTGTCCTTTCTTAATAAATATACCAAAGTTAAGGTTAGATCTTAAGAGAATTAATTATACATTCAATTGTCTAGACAACAGACCACATTTTTGTTTAAAGTAGGTTCAACAGGGTCTAGTACAAATACTTGAAATGTTTCCAATACATATTTTGTCCAGGCTAGATTAGCATAATTATTCACAAACAATGACAATGGCTGTAAATATATTCCTTTCCAATTGTTTGCCACTAACATAACATAATAACTTAATGCGTTTGAGTGGGCTGTAACATATTGTGTATCAAAACCTTAACGCTGATGTTTTTTGCAATTAGAGTTAGATCGCATCCACAACGCAGTGCACTAACAGTGTATTAAAATGCATGTGTTTTTACCTGAAGAAAGTGTGGTGCTCAATGCAGACTTTCCAGAGTCTCTTGGAAGCCCGATGGTTGGGCAGCTTGAAGCCTATGGTGCTTTCAAACTGTTCGTACTGAAGAGTTTGGGGTTCAGAGGTGGGGGGAGGGGGTGAGAAAGTGAGGAGAGACAGTGAAGCAAAATCTAAATCTAAAAGGAAGGAAATTCAACAGGAAGACAAGACATGCACAACAGGTCAAATATTTCAGAAATAGGGAGTCCTGACCAAACCTGACTGATCCTGTGATTGTCCCAGTGGCATTAAAGGTGGGTCAAATGCAATCATCATAGAGACAAGCAGGTGAGGAAGGGTAAGAATGTATATTTTAAGGTATTGTTTCCCAAAGACTGGGTCGCAACCCAAGAGATTTTTTTGAGGTGGTCTTGTCACAATCTGCATGTAGGTCTGCAATGTAAGTTCTGACACTGACATGCGTGTTGGGGTCCTCTGCTGCATCCTGGACTGGAACACGCTACAAAAACGCAGACAGGCCCAACTATATCATTAGAAATGTTGAAATGTTAAGACATGTTTTGTATAATTTCTAATCTTTTTGTAATTGTTTTATTGACTATTTTGTTCCAGTGTTGCTGCTTCAATTGAACGTTGAAAAGAAAAAGAAATAGGCTACATATAGATTCCTTTTATTGCTGGTTCAATTACTATTTTTCATTGATTAAAACTTGAGTAATATTAATATTTCAGAGAAACCGATCACTCAGTCAACAATATCTTCATTAATGTTCAATAATGGTCAAATCCACTTTATTTTGTGATTTACGAATAATGTCTATTGACTTGGGTCGTGAACGTTTGTGACTTTTAAAATATGGTTCCCCTGAAAAAAAGTTTGGGAAACACTGTTTTAAGGTATTTGTAAGCAATAAAAACACCTATAATTGAATACATACAAGGAGACTGTGAGACAAGCAGCTGACAAACCCCACACCAAAAACTTATACAGTGTACGTTTAAAAGTCCAATATAATGCAAATTTGACTGTTGTGAGCTTAAAGCCTCAAAAACATTCCTAGGGTTGTGTTTCATTTTTTCACACATATATGTTTATATATAGTCTGTCTACATCTCCAGAGCTCAAAATGCTCTGTTCCACCTTGTGATGTCATGAAGTGGTATATTTAGAAGTTTTCAAGTTAGCAGATACCTTTTATTTTTTGTTTAGTAGAAGCTGAAATGAGAAATGAAATTAGGGGCTGAAATGATCCAAATGATTCTGATGAAGGTGTATGGAGTTTAAAAACACAGTGGAGCACCTCCTCTATTACCACATGACATCACAAGGCAGAACAGAGTGTTTTCTCTTTGAGAGAAAAATTCTGCCTAAATGTGCAGGGCCTGTGTGTTAAACGTGTGAATGAAACCAAACACAACTCCAGGTATGTTTTTGATGAGGGAACACCACACAAAATAGCATAATATGGGCCCTTTAACTATTTCCAATCTCCTTCCTTGTTGTCTTGCACAGTCAGCCAATCACATCACCCTACTGTTGCCTCTCAACCAATCACCACCACCCATCGATACCACTGCAACAGACCCAAGAGCCACCTCAAACTTTCACATAGTGGTGTAAACGTGTATCTTTATCTTAATCACGTAGTAGTTTTCTGTCTTTTTACTGTAAGTAGCTGCTGATTGAAAAGGCTTGTCTCTATATGTGTCACTTCATGCAGGCTAGAGTAGATTATAACTGTTTTAGTCCATTCACAGGATACAGAAAAGTAAGAATATAGACAGTTGTGGAGAAAATATAACACAAAACCAGCCCTTGAGGCGAATTCAAATTGACAGGCTGACTTAATAGGAAAGATGCTCTGAATGGCCTTGCTTTTCACTATAAAGACGTCAATGTCAGTTTAACAGTGGGTTTTAAGTACACCAGAGATACCCCTTTGGGCTCAAAAACAGCAATTCTTAATCATTTTAGTGAGTTGAAAATCAGGGCATGGCATTAAGTGCTGCTAAAATCCCAGATAAAAAAGTAAATCTTCTTGAATGGCTAATAAGAAAGAAAGGGAACAATGATGAATGAAAACATAACCTCAGTCTATGTGAAATGCTTGGGAAAATACTGCAAATATGAATAACAAAAGTAACACTTTTATCAAGCCGTGAAATTACTATTTATGCCGCCTTGGGAAAGACAATGATGTAAATTTAACAAGTGAAACGCCGTGAAATGAAATCTGAAGCTGTGGCTCTTTACCAAATTAGGCTTAACTTTGTGCTTTCTCTTTTCAAGTGGAGTTGTGCATGCAGTGACAGTGCAGTGAAAAAAACAGGAGAGTAATGTAACAGTTAAACAAACCTCGCCTGGACGGATCTTGATGTAGAAGTTGCTCCTCTTGTAGGAAATCTTGAGGATCTTTGGCCAAGCGAAGCGATTGATTCTGAGGCGGTCTCGGTAGATCAGTAGACCACTAGCGCTGACTCCTAGCATTATGTCGATCCCCTCCGAGTCCTGAGAGATACACAAAGTAAAGATATAGTTAGACAAAATACAAACATCAAAGACTTGTTTGGAGCGGGGCTAAAGGGATCGTAGGTGGTTGATGTCTGTTCCAGTAAGAGTGGGTTTTAGATAGAGATGCACTGATCTAGCCAGTTTCAATACTATTATAGATACTTTGGCCAATACCAGTGCAAAGACATAATATAAAAAAGGCGATTTTCCAAAAGCACTATGCAACTGTATCTATAACTAAGTAATTACAGAACAGCTTTATAAACAAAAGTTCTTGGCCAACATAGATTGGCAAAAAAGTTTATTACATTTATTATAATATGTCAAAACAGGTTTCTGACTGAACCAATACCCAATCCAGAAATTATTTTCTGGATCAGAGATATTACCACAAATCAGTATTGATAATCGCTACACCCTGGACATTGGTCAAGGTTCAGTGCACATGAACATTTGCAAACATCACAAAAACTTACATCATACCAGAGTCTTGCACTGATGATTTGATGCTGGACCGTAAAGTACAGTTTACAGTCCAGCATCAAATTGACCGGCATGCACCTCCGAAATTTTCTAACGACACATCAAAACGATGCAGACAGTAGGGGGAAGCAAAGACAATAAGGGCTGTGATTGGTCCTCTCTACCACTGCTCTACATACATATCCCTGTACTCCATTCCCTGTAATCTGCTTTCCTTTCTTTCAACACACACTGAGCAATACTATGTTTAATGCAGCTTTGCACACATTTGTTTACGTTTTACAGAAACAAAACTTAAAACCAAATGGCTAATTTGCATAAACATAAACGCAGCAAAAAAACAGCTCACTCCTTGTGCTCTGATGCGTCAGCTTCTGTTGGACTAAAGGACACGACTGAGTGGAATATGAGTGTTCTTTCTGTGACAGAGGATGTGGTGATGATGGTGAGTCTGTTCTGTCGCATTGGAGATGGTTCATGTTAAACTTTACATGCACGGCAGGTTTAAATCCTTGCCTCCTTGCATTGTGGCCGTGAAATACTTAGTAGCGCATAGACCTTGACACAGATCCATAAATTCATAAATTGTGCTTTAGGAGCACTGCAAAAAACTGGGGCTTTTATGCTTCCAAATTCGTATTGTCTGAGATTGTGATTTTCGGTCCAAAACGATAGATCGTTCACCCCTACCATGCATCAAAAAATCTGACACCTTTATTCTGTTATGATGCTGTTGTCTGTATTGTTAGTTGAAGTCACATAATGAAAGAATTATCATGCCTTGTCCCAAATATAAATATGTTGTGTAGTGACGTTTGACTAAGGATGAATTGTTTAATCCATACCTTGGCTTGATGTAGGTCCACTCCATACATCGAAAGCTTCTTGGCATTTTCTAGAAAGTTCATCTCCGCCTCAGCCGGACTCATCCCCCTGCAATCCAAATGCCACATGACTCGTGCCTCTGTCCCATTTATATTCATTGAGCAAACCCAAAATGCCATCATAAAATCTCACATATTTCTCATTACCAGTGTATTTGGCCTGACCTGTAGTTTCGGTGCAGCTCCATCACTCTCTCCTCTAGCTCTCGCGTTTGGTTTGGAGCAAAGCGGAAGTCATTGACATAGTCCGGACCATGTTCCTCTGGCTCATAGTCCCCTATTTCAGCTTGTACTGTGTAAGAGCCTAAGAGCGCGTGGGTGACGAAGGAGCAGGGCAGGCGGCCGGACAAGATGTCATCACGCAACTGGAGACACAAGTAGTATCTGTGGACGAAAATCCATACATAAGATTCACATTTTGAACATTATGATAAGCATTCATTTTCATTATTGTTCTTAAATTCGCAAAGTGAACAACTCAAGTCTCTGTTGCCTTTATTTCTGTAAGAGGTGTTTTTAGTGCTCAAAAATCCCTTCCAAAATATGTATTCCTACTGTAAGCAGCATCATCTCTCCACAGGTCCATCACCTGCTTGTCTTTATGGAGATAGATCAACTTTTCACCGAGGGCCATCTTGAAACATATTTGAAGTAGAGGGCTGAAGGCCAGTGATTAATACAGCGGATCATTCAGATAGATGCATTTTACATCACTGTGACAAAGCCACCATAGCTTTAATAAGGCATGGAACGTTAATTTTTGGTCTGTATCACAATGCAACGTGCTGTTTTTGGGGTTTTAGTGGGAGAATCACTTAAATTCACTATGTGGTATGTCTATCATCATGGGCCATTTCAGCAGAAGGAAACTGGTGGCCATAGTTTGGAGTCCCATGCTATAAAATATTCCAGGCAAAACAATAACTTATCCACGGAAACAAGCTTGCTGATCCTTCAATGATAAAGTTACATAGTGTACCTTTAAGATAAAATGTGAAGTCCATAAGTGTTGGTGCGATCACAGAATCTTAAGATAAACATTTTTGTAATTAGTGTCTCACTGTGAACAAAGTGCAGCTGCAGGATTTTAAGTGATAAGTGATGAGAAATTAAGATATCATTTGCCATCCAAAAGTCACATTTAAAAGGAAAATAATTTTTACAAAGATGTTTAGCTTTTCACCACACACAATAACAACAATGTTTATAATTGTATGGATTAAAAGCACAGATTGCCCTTCATTTTGGCAGGCCTCTAATCAAACTATGATCAGAATCTATTGTATCTGACTGTCAAGTGGCTGCTATTATATATTATTATAATGTAAACAGTGCACATTAAACAAACTACTGATTTTGTGATGATGACAGCATGGCATTTTCTCAGTCAAATCTTTTTCATTTCTACTTTCAGAACTGCATAACCAAGTCAGATGCCATCATTAAGTGACTTTGCAACTCTGTTTGTGTACTTTTTAAAACTTAAAGGTACATTGTATAAAATTTCTGGTGGAGGGTCCGCCATCTGCTTGCCTCCTGATGTTATTGCATTGTCGGGGATGTTCCACAGTAGCCAGGCTGGTGCTATCTAGTGCCTACACTAAATTTAATTTCTTTCCAGTGACTAGGTCAGGAATCGAATACCCTAGACGGTTGGCAAGAACCTCAGAAGTTGTAGACCGCACACCGGCCAGTCAGCGAAGAGCTGTGAAGTCATGACTGGGTCCCTTTTGTGGGACAGAACAACAGTAAACAAAGCGGTCGAGATGGATATAGATTCTGTGTTGGCAACGATTCCCAAGATCAAGGATTTACAACCAGAACAAAAAGAAGGTTTGGTGAATTTTATCAAGGGGAAAGACGTTATTGCCTTTCTTCCTAAAGGATTTGGGAAAAGCTTAATATACCAGTTAGCCCCGTTAGCGACGCATTACATACGTCACGACCAAATAGCAGCGATTGGTTAAATTATAAAAAGAACCTGTCTACCGTCGAGTGAACGAATCCTAATGGTGCGAGGTTAGACAGTTTCCATGAAGTGAAACCGGCTGATGAATCAGGCTAGTTCCACAGTGGCATTAAAGTGTTTTGTTTTGTTTTTTTTAAGTTTTTATTTCTCATAACTTCCACAAAACATGTATTATTACCGTGAGTGGGCCCAGTGCTCTACATATCTAACCTGTAAGTTGGCCTGGAGATGTGACCGCTTGTCTCCATGGAGATAGTTAAATTAAATGTCATAGTATAGAACATTCTGGGGAAACAAAATGGACCCCCCACTAGAAACATTACACAGTGCAACTTTAAATGAATATGGCATATTCAAGTCTCACATTTGTAAAATAAGTCATCCCCTAAACATACATCTGTATACTTGAAACACAAACAAAGATACAAAGTATATGTAAGAACTTTATAACTGCAGTATTTGAATATTTGTGGAAAATACCATTTTATTGCAATATTCACAAATCTATTTCGTCAGAAACATTAAGTTATCATTGGTTTGTACTGTAAGTCTGATGTATTGTTTTGATGTGTTCATCCTCTGATCTTCATCGAATTTGCTTTTCAATCGTTTCCCCACTTCTGGATATTACACAGCAGAGAGCAAAGCATTCAGAAACCATTTTACATTTCCATCTTTTTCTCTTGTAGCCTTTGACGCATTACTTTCCGTGAGATTGTTTTGCTCTCACCTGGTGATGTCTTCGATGAGCACTGATGGGTCTGGAGGATAGAACTTGACTGAGAACGCAAACACCCAGGAACCCACTGCGAAACACATCAGCAGTAAACTCTCACTTCAATATTCTACGGCAGGCCTCCTCTAATGTGCCTGTACTTACCCCGAATCTGCTTCTTAATCTCTTTGGAAGGATCCAGCCAATTCTAATAAAAGAGAAAAGACAACCTCCCTTTATATTCACCCACACCTGTCACAATAACATGTCTTGAAATATTGCTATATTGAAACATATACTGTATAAGGAAGTAGACTGTGACGTCAACCAGCATTTGGCTCCAGTGAAATAAAGCTCATGAGGCTAGTACTTACATGAGCGAAGGAGTCAAGAGTTGGAGTCAGTTTCATACTAGGAATAGGAATTCATTTAGGGACAAAATACACAAAACCTCAGGATCATAGAATGGGTTAATATGAAAAATTTAAAACAAAAATAACGAGGCTCACTGCAGTAGTTAAAGAGAGAGGGATGACAATTTTTCAATGTAAAGTCAATTGGAGTCAGACTTGATGGAGCCGGAAATGCACTCATGTTCACTTACTGTTTGGAACACTTTATGCTACTGACACAATAACCCAATAACGTTTCCTGGGACAACTTTCCTAAATGTACAATATGAAGCGCAACTAACAACAGAATGAAACACTTTAGTATTTAGTTAGTATCTATAATTAGTCACAGTTACTTATAAGATTCTCTAACTGAATCTGACTGTATCACATAAAATAATAGTATTCCAGCAAATATTTCAGCAACAATTAAGTACAAGTAAGTGTAGTAAAAATATTGTTAGGAATGTGCCAATCCTATACAGTTACCGAATACTGGTGGCGATTTAGAAAAAATACTGGATCACGTATCATATTACATATAAACTGATGTAATGAGACTATTTACTGATCATATTTGGCCAAGAAAGCCTCATAAAGTTTGAATTCTGTTATTCTGTTGTTACTTAAAGAGTAGGGTGACCAGATTTTCAAATAAAAAAACCATGACACCACTGGTTTGGGTTGGTTGGTAATAATAAAACTGTGAAACGAGTGCGTAATGAAGGAAAATTGTTCTGCGCTTGGCTCTAATGTGAGTCAGTATAGTCACATTTTCTTTGTGTTTTTGTCATTTTTAAGCAGCTTTTCTGTATTTTACCTAAACAAATGACAATGTATGCCTCTCTTTACTGTTGGCAGGGATCAGTGGTCAAAAATAGGGACACCTGGGACATTTCTTGTATAAAACTGGGACAAATCACTGGTTTTGGATAAATCTGCCGGGACAAGGGACACAAGGCTCAAAACTGGGACTGTCCAGGGTAAATAGGGACATCTGGTCACCCTACTTAAGCGATAAGAGATAAATATCAGCTATGATCAGTTTGGTCTTATGTTATCTTTGTTGTGATAAGCCTATTACTCCTACACCACCAGCTAAAGCCCAAATTTATTCTCGATAGGCCTACATCACATATTAGCCATAATGAGCATGGAGAACGGCTATTTTGGTTCGATAAATGCCAGCCCCTAATGCTCTATGTTACTGAGGCTTTGTGGCCAATGTCCCGTTTTGAAAAGGCCACATGAACCAATCCCATTTTAAAGGTTAGAAGTCACAGATGCTATTGTCAAATTGTAAGTAGCCAATAATGGATAAAGGGCAAATGGGACGTTTCATGGGGCAGGGTAGTCAGCAATTAACTTTTAAAATAAGTTATATAGTGTGAGTTGACTTTATTTTTGGAGGATTTGCTTATGATTTTGTACATTAACACAGATAGATGAGTAGATATACAGCAGAGCATATAAACAGGTTAAATAAAATGTTAATTTCAATGCTGTTAGCTAGTATGACTTGGCACGTCCCAACAGCAGAAGGTCAGAATTAGCAATTACATTCATTTATATGTAAAATAAAATGCATAATCTACAAGCTCGTGGAGACAGTAGGTCAATTGAAACTGTGCCAAATGATACTATATAATAAATATTCAAAGGAACCACAAACCACCAACTATTGCTTTCTTCTAACCACAAGAGGCATAATCAGTTTGCTACAGCACTGGAATTATAGCTTTTAAAATGATTAATATGTGTGGCTGAAGTGTTATCTGCAAATAGTAGCAAAGGATGGTCTCGATTTCAAAAACATTGCCCAGATGGCTACATTTCAGACCTTTGCTACCATGGACCACTCTAATAGGGTGGTGTTTTGGCGTGTTTCAGAGAGAACCAAATGTAATTCTGCCAGTGAATACACGAGTAGTAGTGACTATTTAGCTAATGACTAATGATTTGCTACATATATAAAACATTATGTGCATTTGATATGACAAAGAAGCACACAACCCTAACCCTAACCCTATATTACACAAACATAACTCTTGTGAGCTTTAAGCCATTTTAGAATGTTGTTATCTCATCAAAAACATACCTGGAGTTGTGTTTTGTTTCATTCACACATGTCTGAGTAATCCTTTATTATTAGTCTGTCTACTGTTCCACCTTGCAATGTCATGAAGCGGTAGTTTTCAAGTTAACTGCTCCCCTTTACCTTATTTCAGTAGAGATTTGCAAATCCAGGGCTAAAATTATATAAATGATTCTAGTGAAGGTGAAAAGAGTTTAAATACACAGTTGAGTACTTCCTGTATTACCCATGACATCACAAGTTGGAACTCAGCCCAGATATGCAGGATCTGTGTGTTAAACATGTGCAAAATGACAAAAACAAAACACAACTCCATATATGTTTTTGATGAGGGAACAACATTATAACTTAGATCAGACAATAGCACAATATGCTCTATTCACGTTACGTCACAAACCAGGAAGACGTTTGGAAAGATGCCATTACAACTTCCGGTGTAATTACCAATACTGGGCTCGCAGACCAGCTGCATGGATCTATAATATTTTTTTTTATATAAAAATTGTAATATAGTGTGTATTATAATGTATTATAGTGTTTACTATGATGGACTGTGATAAAACCCACTGAAGTAAATGCGATCAGCGGTAAAAATTAAGACTGCATATGTACGTGCTATTTGGAATCATCTGGAATTTAGCTCTCTCATCTCCTCTAATTGCATGTACCCAGTGCGCTCGGAGTTGTGCATTAGTGGGGAAATGATGAAAACTGAAGTATGGTTGTAATTGTTGATTAGCCGAACATAACGGAATACTACAATGACATGTAGATGAAGAAAACTGGGACATTTTCTCATTTTCCTAGATTTTGTCAGACTTACCATGAACAAAGCCCACCGCAAGTTGTTGCATTGCATCTTTCCAAACATCTTCCTAGTTTGTGATGTAAATGGAGCGTGAATAGAGCCTATATGCGCCTTTGCTTTTCAGGAATGTAAAGTCATGTAATTCAGTTTTGCAGTTTTAACAGTTTTAAAACTAATTTGCCGGTGGGAATAGCCATCATCACACATTAATTACTGCAGTTTTAGTTCCCCTCTACGGTGATATTAAGAGGATGAGTTGTGCGTTTTGGTCTGACCTTGGAGTTGTCAGTGTCTTGGAACATGAGTCCGAAGTAGTCCCTCTCCAGCAGGTTCAGGTGGCCACACACCATGTCCAGCAGAGTCTGTCCTTTGGCAAATTTCTGCAACACACAAAAGCACACAAGAGGGTAAGAGAACACACACAAGCATACAGGGGGCTAATAGAACACACACAAACACACAGGTGGGTAAGAGAACACAAACACAAACACTCAGGGGGGTAAGAGAACACATGGTAAGAGAAGTCTCAGCAGGGGGTAAGGAGGGGGCACATGTCACATCAGGCAACAAAAGGCTATAAAATAATGTCATGCATAATTCATACACAGAGTAGATTTGTAACTATTACAAACAAGGAACAGAATAGATAAACAAGTTTTGCCACAAGGAAGAATTATAACCAAAATTAATAAGGATTGTTCTACTTTATTTGCAAGTGGGCTTATAAATTTGAAATAATAAGCAACAAAATCAAGTTACTTCCTAAGGCACAATTTTCAGTATTTAAGAAACATGACAATTAACCAAAGCAGTTTTCAATTATTCTATTGTACATTGAGATTTCAAACACATTTTACTAGCCTGATTCATCAGCCGGTTTCACTTCGTAGAAACCGTCTGACCTTGCAGTGTTAGAATTCGTTTGCTCGACGGTAGGCTGGAACTTTTTTCATTTAACCAATTGCTGCTTTTTGGTCGTCACGTATGTAATGTGCCGCTAACAGGGCTAACTGGTATATTAAGGTTTTCTCAAATCCCATAGGAGGAAGGGCAATAACGTCTTTCCCCTTGATAAAATTCACCAAACATTCTCTTTGTTCTGGCTTTAAATCCTTGATCTCGGGAATCATTGGCAACACAGAATGTATGGCTCTTCGCTGATTGGCTGGTGCCCGAATTCGCACTTCCGGGGTTTTTGCAAACTGTTTAGTCTATTCCGATTCCTGACCTAGTCGCTGGAGAGAAATGAAATTGTGCATAGGCACTAGGTGGCGCCAGGTACAGATTGAAACATGGTGACTTCAGGCTTCTAGAGAATACTTGAAAAAAAAAATTATATTGATGAAAATACAAAATTGCACTTTTTTTGAAATGTTGATTTAATAATTCTACTGTTTTTGTTAAAAGGTTTTCTGGTATGTGTTTTAGATTCCAGTTATAGATTACAAGTATCAAAATATGAGTATGATTATTTTACTAGTTGGCTCATGACTCGTGTTCTGATTTATCATTGCGGCTCTAATAATGACAGTGATTTCCAGCCTTGGTCAAAAAGGTGTGTAGTCCAACAGATATAACGCTCCAATAGGCTCAGGGGGTAATGCTGACTGGCAACTTTCAGAAAGCATGGCTCATTAATAGAGGCCATAGATTATGTCCAATACGTTTAACAGCATATTTTACAACACAAAGGGATCAGCATCCTGGACGAGACCCTCTCTGTACCTCCCCTGGGTAATGGGACCAGCCTGTGCACCTCGTGCATGCCCATATAAGGCCAGGGTCTTACATCATCTGCTAAAGAGGCCACGCCCATTTCCTCTGGACACATCTCCAAGGGAAACCTGGCTCCTGTGGTCACAGTGGAGCCAAGCAGCCGTTACCCTGGCAACAGAAGTTAATAGGTTTCTCGTGCCTGTGCCCTCCCCTTCCTCTCTATCTCTGTGTGGATACTACGACCACAAGGCCGAGCAAGAAGCCTTTGTTCAGTTTGTGCAAAAATGTCATCAGATATAAGACCCATGTCTGAATATTGAAGCAGACTCAAATATATTTGCAGACTTTAGACCCAGGACTGCAGGCTACTAATCTTTTATGTTGTACGAGCTATCCATGGGTTTTGGATGAAAATTTTGTCAATGTTTCCATAGCAATTAACAATTCAAAACACAATGAGCAATGAGCAAAAGTCCTTAAAAGCACCTACAATCAAAAAGATGAACCAATCTTGCAATATAACATTCTGAATCTACATTTTAAGTAGCAACACTTCACAAAATTAGGATTGATTCTGTAACTAAACCTAGACTACACTAGGACTAAACTGGGCTAAACTGGGACTAGAATTAGACCCAACTATATCTAAATCAAGTTTCTTGGTTTAAAAATGCTCAGTGCAGTATTTTATGATTACATATTGATCCATAGGTTTTTACTTTTTTATCTTATGTCCAAAGTCTGGGCTTAAGATGCTGTTGTCACATATCCCACATTAAAAGAGTAGATTTCTAGTAACAAAAAGTAACTCAACTAAACGTTCCTTGTATTTTAGGGCTAAATTGACGCAGTAGGTGATCATTTTGTACGTTTACTGCAAATACATGTTGCTGGTTGTTAACACTAATACCTGAGGGAGAGTTCATAACAGCATAGGAGTTTGTGGCGCAATTATACATTTTATTTTCTAACTGAATGAAATTGCTACAAGCGTCTCAGGTGCTTTCTCAACCATTACTGCTGACTCAGGGCGTGCTGATGAGTTTTTGTTGTCACTGCAATTGCAGCCATCACATTTCTGTACCTAGCTCTGTAATCTGATTGTGTTAGCAGCCATTTGCCCATTCAGTCAATTTATTGCTAATGGTTTCAGCCACACAAGCAAAACGAGGATGGACAGCGGGCTTGTAAATGTGGTAATGACTGTTAATGAAGAACCCAGATCTACTGCACCTAACAAACTGAAGCTCAGAGGGTACAAGCAAAACCACTATGTCATGTTAGATAGGGAGTTTTGGCCATCTGATTTCTTAAGTCTGTGTATTACAACTTTGATTTAACGTGGGCTATGTAACTAATGGGGGGGTCTAACATCTGCTTAGCCCCTTGGAAATATTGCTGTTTTCTCTGGAATGCCCCATAATATGGCATTAACTGTATTTATCTAATACAGACAAGCCATGATGCCACAAAACCACGTTACTGGTCAGATCTGTGGAGAGGCGATTCCACACATAGGCATGTTTTTACAAGGCAATTTGAAAGCAATAAAAGCACATGTAACTTAATAAAGCTGTTTAATGCCATACTGTGGAACATTCCAGCCAAGATTATAAAAATTTGTGGAGTGTGCCTTTAAATAGAATAACAACAATGAACCCAGGGGCGCAGTCATTGTTTTAGGACACTGTGTACCAACCATATATAGCATAATCGTACTTTTTATATGATCATCACACATTAATCATACATTTTTAAGCTTCAAATACAGCCTAAACAACACGGCAAAAGACACTGTAAACTTGCAATGAACCTTACAAACCACAGAAGTTGTTAGACTTTATTCACATAGCCAGGAGTCCTGCTGTACATCATGAACGTGAGAGTTCAGCCCACAAAAACACTAACCACAGTTATGCTCGAGTAGACTTCCTTTTATGTAGTCACTGAAGGGCCGGCAAAGTAATATACAAATGGATCTGACAGTGAAACCTGGACAATGAATCAAACAGTACAGGCAGAAGTATTTTGTTTTGACACTTTAAGTAAGCCAAAATCTTACTCAGCACCTCTCATTGCCTGATTTTATGGTAATGCCTCATCACTATGGAGTGGGTATTTCAATTGTAGAAATATAAGTCAAAATTTAACGACTTGGAATTAGGGTTGTCAAAACTATTGGAAATAGTTCTATACTAATCGATAATGAGTATTAGTATGAGTATTGAAACTAATACTTGTTTGAGCAGATATCAGCACTGAAAAAAATCACTTTAACTAATTTGACTTTTCCAGAACAGTTTAAGAATGATTTTGAGCTTCGTTTGAACTACTACAAGATCACATGTTTTATACAGAAAGTACTCTTAGTTTCTGTAAAAAAAAAAATGCCATAACATCTAACATCTTAAAATTATCACTGATTATGAAAATAGAGTTTAAAAATTTAGTACCATGACAGCAATACTTGGGATGACTTTTTCAGTTGTTTTAAGATTTGCTTTTAGCTGAATCCACAGTGAATATGCTTTGCTAAACACAATTTTGCTACAGTAGAAGAGCAAATAATAAAGCAAGGGTATTGTAGGACGAGAGCTTGAAAACAGCAGAAAATGCAGTGACCAGTTTCATCCTCCTTTAAGCTCTCAGAAAGCTGCCAGTGCTGATCCCACATGAATCTTTTATACAGTATGGCCTCAGCTCATTAAGCACATGCTCGTATGCAGCAGTATGGAGGTGATGTTAAATGTGTTTGGACGCATGTGAGCATAGCCTTGGGCAGATGCACTGTATAAAATGGTACTGTAACCCAATAGTAAAGGCCATAGTGTATGCTTTGTGTGGTAATATGAGAAATTATCTAACAAGAGCTGAATTTGCTCACCTAATGTTATCCAAGATGTAAATATGAAGCAGATAAGAATGTAAGAGCTGAAAACAAATAAACAATGAAACTTTTCTAGAGGAAGGTCCAACACCAGCTTGTCTCTGTATTGCATTTATTATTATAATAGGTTTTGAGTGCTAAAAAATACATAGAAAATCATGCATTCTTACTGTGAGTAGGGTCAGCTCCCCACAGATCTGGCTGGTCACTTAGCCACACAGATAATTTTAGTGTCATATTGTATTACATTTCCATCAAAGGACTAAGATATCCATGGAGACGAGCAGAAAATTTACAGAAATGTCCATCTTACTCGCACTACTACTCACAATATAGTGTTGAATACTATCTTCACACTGTAATTTTAGTGTTGTGATCATAGAGTGTACAGTTATAACCATACTAAAATAATTGTTTAGAGACGGATATTGAAATAGGCAACCCCTCTGAGCTGAATCATCCAAACTGCCAACAGAACTCAAACTGTATACGAATCTGTGTATTTTGATTTTCTCATCCTAAGAAGATGTGACACAAGATAAAAACAGTAGTGAGTTTTAAAACCAGCTCCAGCCAGGACAGTCTCATGTGGAGAGGAGGTACTACTGTGTCTACCTCAAACAATATGTCAGGTCAGCAAGATCAGCATCAGAGTATAGCAGGAGAAGAACTAAAACTGCCCGCGGTAAAAAACTGAAAACACAGATGGGCTGTGGTGAACCGGAGAATATGAATAAACTATGAATTTCACATTTCAGGAGCTGGATTTGAGACTGG